ATACACAGGAAAGTATATATCTTTATATTTCTTGGGAATAAGAAATCTTAAAGAAAGAAAAGTAATATTATAGATTTTTGCTAGTTAACCTGCTAGTAAGATAAGCTTATTAAATAAAAAGTACTGATAAAAATAATACTTAAATAATTAGAAATTCTTATTAAAAAAATTCTGGATTACTTTTATAATATCTAGAATAGACTTATATCACATGATTACCTATTACTAGATCTACTATTAAAAATATATTCAAAATATATTAGAATCTCAGAGTTATGATTAGATTGACCACTAATCTATCTTAGATAATATATAATATAGTATATGGAGAATAGAATATATAAAGATATTTATTTATATACTTAGTTAGTTCTATTCTTTGTACTTAATCTATATTATTTTTAAATAATTTATCTTTAGAAGCTTAATAATACAATACTTATCTATATTTATTTATAGATAATTATATAATATTATCTGGTCTTACTTCTCTTTTCTTATTTAAGACTAGTTACCTTAAATAGATTATTAATCTGATACTATCTTGATCTAGTTCAATAGTATATATACCAGTGAAGCTAAGCTAACAGGAACAGGGAAGTGATCCTAGGGTTTGACAATTTTATTCTTGCTCTGATTAATTCTATGACTATTATTGAAATTAATAATTTTATAAGAAATCTCCGGATCAGGAAGATTTGAAAAAAACTAATAATTAGATATATTTTTTCTTTCTTTATATTATTTATTAATAGTAAATAAATTAATAATAATATTTCTTCCTCCCAGCACTATATAATTTTTATTAAATATTTTATTATTAAAAATATCAGTACATATATTAGTTGAAATAGTTTCAGTTAAGATTATAGATATTTAACAAGAATAAATAAATAATTATTAACTAGTATAGCTAAAAAGAATTAAGCCTGGTTATAAATTAATTATAATTTAAATATATATATATAATCTTCTTATTGACAAGATGCTAATATTTTTAAAATTATAGATTAAAAAAGGATTTTTAATCTCTGTCCTGATAAAGAAACCTATAAAAATAGAAAATCTATTTCTTTAAAACTAGTATAAAAAAAGATAAAAGATAATTAAGAAAGTCTTTTATAAGATTTCTAATATTTTTAATAATAAAATCTGTTTAATTTATTTATTTTAAGATAATTCTAAGATACAGGCCCTGTTAAGTAATTTGCAGTAGAAGATATTTTTGTTAAATAAAAAATTAATTATATAATATACAGAATCTTTTTAATAGATATATATTACTGTTATTTTATATTATATTTATATTAATTACCAGATATACTATTCAGAGCTCAGTATTAAAGAATAAATAAAGTTAGTTAATATTTTTATTATTGAACTAGATAAATATATAGTATTAATATATAGTTATTATATTAATTTAGCTAGCTTAAATCTCCAGTATCTATTCTAGAATAATTATTATTTTAATACTTCAACCTCGCAGACCATGAAAGATTAAGTAATTAATTATATTTTTTATATTAGTTAGAACTATACTATCAAAATCTATGAATATATAATAAGAAATAATTTTAATATTTTAGTTTTTATTAAGAACTTGGCTAAAGCTGTACCTGATCTTATTATTATTCTTAATTAAAATATTCTCAGAGATTATATTAAATAAAAAATGTAAAGAAAATTGAAAATATTAATAAAATATTAAATATGAATTTAGATATATAAATAAAAAACTAGAATAAAATAATTTCTAAAATATAATATTATTCTTTAAATAAGATCTCAGAAGTTTATATCTTTTTTTTAGAACTGATACAGACATTTATAAGTTTAATAAGAAATGAAAAGGCGAATCTTTAAGAACTATCTGATATTAATATTAAATAGTTATAAAGATTCAAGAATGAGCAGGGAAAGGAGAGTAAAAAAAATAAAAAAAAATAAAAAGAAGAAAAGTAAAGAGAAAGAAAGTAAAAAGAAAAAAAGTAAAAAGAAGAAAGATAGAAAGAAGAAAAATAAAAAGAAGAAAACTAAAAAGAAGAAAAATAAAAAAAAGAATAAAGATAATAATAAGAATAAAGATAATATTAAGAAAATGGCTGATATCTGATGATGAATATAGTTAATAATAAAATTTTAATAATAATATAGACTAGAAACCATAATAATAATTAACTAATTCTTGATTAAATAATTTATTTTTATTTAAAGTCTTGAGGAAGGCTTTTACAGGACTTTTATAAATTTACTATTAATATCTTGGAGAAGCTTTATATTAATATATATTTCTAGTTTTTATTATTATATTTTTATACTTATATATTATTCTGTATTTAGTATTTTAAACTTTTTCTGATATAATTAGTACTAATTAAATAAGTTATCTTTAGATTATTAGAGCAGGTCAGGTTTTTAATCTAAAGAATCTAATCTAAATCTTAGCAGGTTAAGTCAACAAATCAGAATCTAAATTAAATTCTTAGTAAGTCAGGTTAATTAATTATAATCCAAGTAATGGGTCAGGTTAATTAATCATGATCTGACCCGTGGGTCAGGTCCAAAAATTTTTAGAGAACCTATCCAAGAACCCGACCCGACCCAACAACCCGACCCAATGACCCGACCCAATCCAACACTATATACAGAAATAATAAGATATAATTTATTATTTATATAGATAATTCTGTTATTACTGGCCTTAAACAAGCAGATCTAATTTTAATAAAGTATTATTTTAATAAAGTATTCAGATTTAAAAAATTAGATAAACTGAAGATTCTGTTTAATTATAATATTTTATATAATTATAAAGCAGGTACTATCTTGCTCAGGTAATTTATTTATATAAAAAGATATTTTATTACTGCAGGTATATAATTATACTTAAATATTATTATATTTATAATATTTATTTATATTAAGGCAGATCACACTGTAATATTAATTAAGAAGATTAATATTAATAAATATTAAAATTTCATAAGAAGATTAAACTAATTAATTATTAAAATAAAATTTAATCTGTATTATACTATATTTTATTTATAAATATATATATATATATTTTAACTGCAGCGGATGCAAAGGCCCTAAAATATATATATAAATATTTATATAATATTACCTCCTACGGGATCACCCTGGTAGTTAATTATATTAAAAAAATTAAGATTTATATAAATATTATTCACGCTGATTATAAAGATAATAAATTAATAAAAAAATATATTATCTTTTATATAAACAGATTTATTATTTAATTATTAAATAAATAAATTATTATTATACCCTTTTCTACTATTACAGAATACTGCGTGTATAATACTGCTGTTAAAAATATTTTATATATTAAAAAATTAACACAGATATTTAACTTTAAAATATTAAATAATAATAAGATACTTCTATTCAGTAATACTACTAATTTATTATAAAAATTTTCAATTACAGTATCTATACACGATCCACTAGATAGTTAAATAACTATTATTTATTTATAATAGATCTTATTAAAATAAATATTATATTAATTTAATATATTATAAGTACTAGTAACCCGGCAGACAGTCTTACCAAACTATTAAATCAGAAAAAGTTCTATAATTTCTAGATTCTACTAAAAATAATCTTATTAATTACCCCCCCACAGCATCCAGGAAATGATGCTTAATATATAAAAGATTATCTATTTAGAAAATATTTATAATTTTATTTAGTATCTCTCCACATGCTCCTTCGCCTAGAAAGCTGTATTGAGATATTTATATAGGCTAGTTATATACTGTACTCAGACTGTCTATAAAGCATTTCTTCTAGTTACTTTATTTTACTCTTCTAGATAGCTCAATTCAACTCACTCTTTTGCTTCTGTTTTCATTTGTTGGTTTTCACTTTCATTATTACTTTCGTTGCTGCTTCCGTAGAGCGCTCCTCAAGAAGGTATATCGCCCCTGCCATGGGGGAGACACCCTGTACTAGTGCTTACCAGCGCTACCCCGCACATGAAGCTTCCGGATTACGCGATTTGGTTGTACAGAACGAGTTAGGAATGAGATATGAGACTTGCCATGGTGCATGATTCAGTTTAGTCATGTGGCACGGATTTGGAATCAATTACACATACACATGAGACGCGGTGGCTGTTTGATCTGCGTGGTTATTTTAAGCAGTGTGTCTGGAGTATTGTGTTTTATATTCAATTTTCAGCCCGGTCAGGTGATCTCGATGGGATTTCTTTCGTACTAATACTTCTCCTCTCTCTAGTATCCCTCGAACTATCCAATCGTTACAGGGCAAAAGAAATCGTTGACATCATCAATTAGTAGTTCGAATAATCCTCCATTTATAGAGCTGTCACTCGCTTGTCATTGTCTTGTATGTCCTCTTCCGATTTTCTAGCATGTTGTCGTCTGAGTCTGTTTAAAGCCAGCCTTGGTAGCTCTAAATAGCTTATCATATCAACCCTTCTAATACAGCTTTAGTGCTGAACCTGAAATTGAGTGAATAGCGATAAAATCGGATTTAGATGAGATTTCGACAGCGCATCCCCACAAATGCAGCATGCTTTCGGACTTGGATGGATCGCCAAGGCCCGTGGGTCTGGCGTGCTTATTAACCTCAATGCGGGTTGTTCTTGAATGCTTAGACAAATCGTCAGACCAGTCAAGCATTCCGAATGACTCTTAAGTCGAAAAATGGTGCTTGCAACTCAGGGCTCTCTTTAGTGAGGCTCCTGATCGCGTTGACAGGGGATGTTGGGGGCTGAAACTTACACTTCCATATTCTTCTCTGTCTCCCGGTGAGTGATGCGCTAAACTCGAAGGATGACTACTTATTATGAGATATCTCTCACACGGCGCCAGGATTGGCTCAGTATCCTAGTTAAACGCTAGTCGCGTTTTCTTCTCGTATTAGCGTGGCGGCGGCTCCTTTCTTACAAATATGCCACACCATAACTTAGCATGCTTTGCGTCCGCCCGATGATTTCGTTCACAATGCCTGGAGAACTGATCGTGCGAACGGAAAGTGCTCAGCGACGCAGAAAGCCTGGGAAGAGATCTCGAACGGGATGCCGAACCTGCCGGTGAGTTTCATGACCTCACTCCATGGATAGTCCATGGCTGACCGCGAGATTAGGGTACGGCGCATAAAATGCGACGAGGCACCGGGGTCCTGTAGGAATTGCACTTCTACAGGCCGAGCCTGCGACGGATACGATCTGCACCGATTCCCCATCAAGCGGGAATTGTGTCTCCCGACCCTAGGGATGGGCGTTGGAGGAATCATGACTTCCGATGAGAAACGAGGTTTTTCGTACTTTCAATACCGCCTTGTCCCTGACCTTGTGGGCTTTTTTGACTCCTGGCTCTGGCAGAAGCTGGTCCTGCAGATGTGTCATTCCGATCCAGCGGTATGCCATGCTGTCAACATGGTGAGCGCAATTCACCAAGATGCTGAGGAAAGAGGCATGCGACTAGCTGGGGAGGATTTGCAGAACCCAAAACACCGATTTGCACTTGAGCAGGCTGCCCGATCTTTCGCACATTTGCAAAAGCGCCGGGCCTCTCCCGACCCGCAGTTGCGCGAGGTTGTGCTAGTGTGCTGCCTTCTTTTCGTCATGGCAGAGCTGCTGTTGGGAGAATTCGCCAGAGCCTTCATACACCTACGTAGTGGCACACAAATTCTCGAGGAGTCGCTACGCCTTGGGATACCAGTGATTCCTTGTCTTTCTGAAACACTCCGCGTCTTGAATTCCCAGTCGTCACATGTCGGAGACTTTGAGTCAGAATCAGGCATTCAAGGCGAGGCGGAGAATGAACGTGATATTGAGACTTTCGACGGCTTTGAAAGTCTGAAGGTAGCGCGACAATGCTTTCAGCGAGTCATGTATAGGGTGATCCCGTTCATTGCCACGGCTTGGAGACTTCCACAAACAGAGATACTAGCGAACTACGAAACGCTTTGGGCCAAACGACAGAGGCTGTTATCCTCGCTGGAGCACCTTGCAGAGCGGTTTGAACTGTTTTACCAACGAGAATATGCCACTCTTAACGCGAAAGAGCAAATAGGGGCGGATATCGTGAGGCTCCAATTGGTTGCCAAGACAATCGTACTGAAAACGTGCCTGCTCGACGAGTATGACTACAGATTGCTCACCCTTGAATATAGCAATCTGTTATCAGGATACGAAAAATTCATGGACAGGTTTCCCTGTCGCCCCACTATCACACTGGATTACGGACTAAGCTTTGGGCTATTTGCTGTGGCATCGAAATGTCCAGACCTTGGCATCCGTCTTCGAGCCGTTGATGCCTTGCGCAGGTGGCCGCATTACGAGGGCATGATCAATTCCAACGCCGGGGCAGGAATAGCGGTGGAGGCGATCAAATTGGAGTTGCATAAGATGCAGAAGGATGATGCGGAGCGCGTGTCTTCGATAGATCGGGATCCTGACGTAAGCTTTTGGGAAATGATCAGAAGAACGCAGAATGGGACGCAGTGGCCGGCTGTACGCGATGTAGAGCTGCGAGTGAAGGAGACTCGACGGTTGTGAGATTACCAGAGTGGTCGGGTGGTTTCACATGTTCACTTAGTATTTAGCGGATCTTCATGATGAACTTAGGTTCTGAAAACACAGTATATAGGTCATGGTAGTATAGTCTAGCAGGAGTATCTACAAAATGAAAGCATGCCGTCTAATACGTGGGTTGGTTACGGATACACAGCAGATCAAATCCGCATCTATTCTTCTCTCGGGTTGGATTTCCGAGGTGGATGGGACGTGTGCTCACCTGTCGAGCTGGTCCATTTCAGCCATCTTTTCTTCTCGTTGATGCTGAAGGCTTGCTAGATGGGTTGATTTGGCTTGAATAGATGTTGTTGATGGATATTCTGGTGTGTCTGGTTTACAAGAGTGAAACCGGGGAGAGTGGCCCTATTCAAGTCGGAGGCTTAAGGACTTTTTCGCCTCCCACATGCCACTAGTATCCTGTATGATCAAGAAGAAAAAGAAAGCTGAAGATCCAGCTGACCGGTGCGGCAATTTACCGGCGTCATTATGAGATGCGATTGTGTAACAGGTAAAAGTTTGTGCGAGGTTTGGGGACGCAATTACGATCCTGGGACCACGCTGGCGTCCCTATCTAGTGGCGAAACCGGAGTCGCATTGGTATATCGACTATGATTTACCACCTACTAGAATCCATCATCTCATCAACGTGATCTGAATTGCTTTTTCTTTCGGAGATCGTGCAGGTTTTCATCTAGCAGGACTATGCTATGACACACAAGATCCAGCCAATTGGTTGACTGGAAGGGGGGGAACCCTTGCTGTCATCCCAACGATGTATGAATTTTATACTATTCGGGGCGAACCTTCATGTCGGATGGGTGCAGATCTACACAGCTGAGCACAGCCAATATGAGCTGGTGCAGGACCCTGATCATCGTGGCTTCGTCCATTCGATCGCGTAAAAGAGGGGGTGTTCTTGGCGTACATGAAGGGTTACATGGCCAGGTGTATCTCCACCTCAGCTGAAGTCCGAGCTGAAAAGTTGACCGAAGCTCATGCAGGCTAATTAAATGACGGCGTTGGACCCTGGTCCAAGTAGTCAAATGTTGTTGGCCAGTCAGATCGGAGGGAAGCCTATTCCATCTACTTCTTCCAATCTATCTTCAATCTATTCGACATCCTGGTATACGAGCCATGGTTACATTGACACAGCGACAGCATCGTTAAGGATCTAGATTGTCAAAAGTTGATGTCGTCAATGTCTGTATGTGCGCCGTTTTGGCAATACGAAATGAGGGGAAATTCGCCTCCCGGAGAGATAAATAAGGCTCGATGGAGCCGTGGTATCAATCTCTCCATCAACGACAACAACAGCAGCAATCTCAGAGCATCAATCTTATTACTTGAATTCAACTCAGGTGCTTCGAGCTCATTAGTTTGATTTTCATCATGACACAGTCGATAATCAAGTCCGAGGAGTCGAACCCTCCAAGCCTACACATCGTCAAGCAGTGGAAGGAGGTCAAAGAGAGTCTGCCCTTCGATGACACTCAAGACTTTGTGAACGCTAAACGGGGCTGGAGAGGTAGTCTCGGTGACCCCAACCAGGTCATTGATGCTCAGGGCAATGTGGTGTGGAACAACGATGCCTACGACTTTTTGAAGGACGACGCCCCATACTCGGCCAACCCAAGTCTGTGGCGCCAGTCGCAACTGACTCGCATGAATGGACTGTACCATGTCGCCGGACCCATTTACCAAGTGCGGGGGCTTGATCTCTCCAACACGACCATTATCGAGGGCGATGAGGGCATCATTGTCATCGACCCCCTCACTTCGCAAGAGACCGGCGCTGCTGCACTCGCTCTCTACCAGAAGCACCGTGGCACTGACCGAGCCGTCAAGGCTGTCATCTACACCCACTCTCACGTTGACCACTTCGGCGGTGTCAAAGGCTTCGTCAGTGAAGACGATGTCGAGAAAAATGAGATCAAGATCATTGCCCCCGAGGGTTTCCTAGAGCATGCTGTGTCCGAGAACGTCTACACCGGTACCTCAATGAGTCGCCGCGCTGCGTACATGTACGGTGCTGCCCTCGATCAAGGACCAAGGGGCCAGATTGGCGCTGGACTTGGACAGACTACCTCAACCGGCGTCGTCACCCTCATCGCACCCAACATGACCGTCAGACGCACGGGCGAAAAGAGAACCGTCGATGGCATCGAGATGGAGTTCCAGATGGCACCTAACACTGAAGCGCCCTCTGAAATGCTCATCTGGTTCCCCGGCCTTAACGCACTCTGCGCCGCTGAGGACGCCACACACACCTTCCACAACATCTTGACCCTGCGTGGTGCGGTGGTCCGTGACCCTCACTCCTGGGCCAAGTACCTCACAGAGACCATCGACCGATACGGCAGCCAAGCCGAGGTCGTCTTCGCCCAGCACCACTGGCCAACCTGGGGCAACGACAACATCCTGAAGTTCCTCACCTACCAGCGCGATCTGTACGCATACGCGCATGACCAGACCCTCCGCCTCCTGAACCAGGGATACAACGGCCCCGAGATCGCCGAAATGCTCACCTTGCCCCCGGCTCTAGATCAATCTTGGTATTGCCGTGGCTACTACGGCTCTCTAAGCCACAACGTCAAAGCCATCTACCAGCGCTATGTCGGGTGGTTCGACGGCAACCCAGCCCACTTGTGGGAACACACCCCCGTCGACAAGGCCAACCGATACGTGGATCTCATCGGCGAGGACAAGGTTCTCGAAGAGGGTACCAAAGCATACCTAAAAGGCGACTACCGCTGGGCAGCTGAGCTTCTAAGTCACGCCGTTTTCAATAACCCGGACAACGAGAAAGCCTGCAAGAAACTAGCAGATGTGTACGAACAGCTCGGATACGGTTCTGAAAATGGTACCTGGAGGAACTTCTACACTTCCGGAACGACCGAGCTGCGCTATGGCAATTTCGGCACGCCTACGCAGTCAGCTGCGGCCGATGTGCTGGGTCAGCTAACCCCGGATATGGTCCTTGATACTCTCGCTATCAAGATTAATGGGCCCGAGGCGTGGGATAAGAAGGTGCTTATAGATCTTGTTGTTTCGGATCAAGATAATAAGACGTACCATTCCTGGCTGTCTAACGGGGCTCTAGTCTACAGCACTGCTGACCAGTCGAACGCTGCTCAGGTCACTCTGACTGGTACGGCTAAGCAGTTGACTGCGCTGGCTGTATATGGACCTGATCATGATGCTTTGGTGAATGCTGGTATTGTGATTGATGGGGATACTACTGCGCTGGATACTCTTGCGTCGTTGCTTGATCCGGGTGATCCGAACTTCAACATTGTTAAGCCTTAGGTGGTAGGACTAGCTTACAGAGGACTGGTTAAAGAGGCCGGTCCAGTCGTTGTTATAGTAGTCTAAGTCAATTATTTCCTTGACTTCTTGGATTCATATGGTTTCTCAGGATAAGCAACCTCTGTTAGTACTGTCTAGGTACGATTGTTATCAAGTATCTGAATATAGTTACAACGTTGAGTTTATAGTGGGCATCACACATAGTCTTGAGGATACTAGTCGCAAGTACGCTTCGTTTCTACCAACTTCGACCATTGTGTATTACTATACTATAATTTTACCTTTCCTAACTAGTTTTATTCCCTGTTATTTCTAGATATTTCCCCCAACGGCCGTGATCAGTAGCATAAACATATCCCCTCTGAGATAGTAACACCTTATTACTGGTTTTGTGCCGCTAGGCATGTTCATGCTCCCTTGAGCTATTAATCGAGTCGTGACCCTTATGGTGGCTATGTGCTTGATTAGTAGATACTGAGAAAGATGGAGAGCACTAGTGCGTGGGATCCGGCTGAATGCAGCATGTGCATATAGTCTCTATACCATTGAAAAGCCCCTTGACGTAAAGAATATTAGTAGTCCTACCTGAAGAAGAAACAAATGCGGCCGTGACAGTGTACTGTATTTTTATCAAATTATCTAAGTACAGGATACCGCACCCTCCACGAATACCGTTTTATCATCTTGACTCCCTCCCAATCCCAGCGGTCACGCGCATCGAGCTCAGCGTACTTAAAGAGCCATTCCACCGCTATCCACGGCTCACGCCGGGCCTCCATCTCCTGGAATATCATTTCATCCAACACAGAGCTCACACCAACACAAACTGCAGTAGTGGATGTATAAGGATTGTATCGCTCGGAAGGGCTGCGCGGTGGCAGGAGATGGGCGCCGCGATCGACCAGCATGCGCAGGCGGACGCGGCCGGTGTCGTTATCCGTATGCAGATTGTAGTGATAGGCAACGTGTGCCAATGCTGTCTTACGGTCAATGCGTTCGTGGATGCGTTTGTTTATGTCCAGGCCGTGTTGAAGCAGCAGATCGATGGTTTCGGCGGCGTCTACATCGGATGCAGCTGTACATGCTGCTTCAGCGATCAAGTTGACAGTGGGCGACAAATGGGCCACCGAAAAGCCTCTGTCTAGCAGCCACTGAAGTGTTTCAATCTTCCCCGTAGAAGCCGCGATTACGAGGGCCTGCTCGCATGCGGTTTTGTTCAAGTGTTCTGGGAAGATGTAGCTATTCCATCTCCCCGTCCGGACGAGCAGATCGAGAACAGCCGCTCCCCCTCGGATGGCTTGGTGAAGGAAATTGGCCAGACCCATATGACACGGCGGATCAATTTCCTTATCGATCAGCATCTGGACTAGTGCAGTGCGACCTGATGCCAGAACGATGGCGGGTAAAGTATCACCTGGGCGGTCTACGGCGATAGGATCGGCCCCAGCGGCAAGCAGGTGACGGAATATGCCCTCGAAGGGGATGGCATGTCTCAATGCTGGATAACCGTCCTGTGCATCCTGGTCATTGGGGTCTGCCCCAGCGCTAAGTAGCATGGAGACCATGGCTTCCGAGCCCTGCTTAATGGCCTCGATTTAGGGCTTCCGCATACGCATCCCTCCCGGCGATGGAGATGCCTCTGCACCGTGAGCGAGGAGCACCTGGACCACCTCGGTGTGACCTCGAACTACAGCCCAGCAAAGAGCAGTCGGAAGATCGTCCCAAATGAACACTTGGCCACATCTAGAATTTGGGTCGTACCCATGGCACTCAAGTAGCTGCCGAACCAGAGCTGTATTCCCGCGCGCCGCGGCTACACACAGCAGCGCAGCCTTGTTTGCGGGTTCAACGGTGCTAGCTAGGTAATCCCATCGTTCAAAGAGAAGATCAACTATGATGTCACACTTCAAGAGTGTGTTTGACGTAAGAGGACACATCGTAGCATTATGGGACGACGGCGATTCTGAGCCTTGGCAGCGGGTTAACTGGTCCATCACGCCTGCATCGAGCAGACCTCGAACACATTCGAAGCGACTCAGGCGCGCTGCCCAACACAAGGCGGAGCATCCATCCGGTACCGTGGAAATAGTAGGATCGGCTCCCCGTTGAAGCAGGAACCGCATGACCTCAAGGTGTCCCCCGCGCGCAGATAGTACGAGGGGAGTCCAACTTTCATGATCCCGGGCGTGGATGTTTGCTCCGGCATCGACCAGCCACTGCACAATGGCTAAATGTCCCCCCGCAGCAGCTTCCATAAGGGGTGTTCGTCCGTCCGAGTCGGCAGGGTAATCGACATGGTACGGCCGCGGCAGATGATCCATGAAGAAGCGGGCCAGGGCTTCATGGCCATGTACGGCGGCCAGTAACAACAGACTTCCAGGACTTTTGTCATAGGCCTCATGGCGCGGATTGAGCCACCTACGTGTGTGACGGATGTCGACTCCGCCCTGATCATACAGATACCGGACAATGGCTTCATCGCCCTCTATCACCGCCAACGCCATGGGTCGCCAGAGAGTGTCCGGATCACACTCGTTCGCCGAGGCACCAGCCTCCAGAGACTTCTGCACAGTCGCGAGGCATCTGTGCTCGATTCCCCAGGCTAATGCAGAGCTGTTATTATGATGTACATTATGTCGATACAGCATGGGATTCACGGCGCGGTAGAAGTTCCGATGAGTGCGAGCGAGGGCATTGATATGATTTGCACATTCAAGGTAGCCCACAATCTGTTCGATGAGCTCAACTGGGAGACGCAAAGCTGTCCTAGTAGTTATTGAAAAGATCATTATGGGGAATACCGATGGACAATGCTGTGTTTAATCGTTTGATGATTGGGGATGTGGCAGAAGATTTGGGGAAATTTGGATAGATTGGGATTATGTCCACTCCAAAGTGGGGCTAGATTCCTACCACAAATAGTATCTCGCGAATGCATCATAAAAAGACTTAGAGAAGGTTGGCAGGTATGGTTGAGATACTGGCATAGGAGAACTTGGTGGAGTGGATGCTCTTTGTCCCTTCATGTATCGTGGTATCGGCGTACATAATATAGCCAAGGTAACAGTCTCATTCAACCATGATAACTCTACATCACGACCTATAATTTAGACAGCGCCCATGTCAGTACACAGGTTTGGATGAGTAGGATTTCATGTGCAGAGGAACAAACTATACGTGAGAGACAATGAGCGATCTTATCATGCCCCATGACCGATAAGCGGACTTTCCGTGCGGGGTGATAACCGATGGTCCCCTGCCGAGATGAGATAGCATTGCTGCCTTCCACTTAACATGAAGGAGAATCTTTCAACATTAATTCCTCTATTGTCCTGCTGGAAGACGCTACATAATTAAGCAATAAACAATGTCGGTTACCAACGCAAGTCCCGGGAATTTCGATCACATCCCTATCATCGACCTCTCGGCATTAAGGAGTCCCGTGCTGAAGGAGCGCCAACAGCTGGCAAAGGAGATCTTCACTGCCTGTACGCAGGTCGGATTCTTCTACATCAAGGTATACTGCTTCGCTAGAAGATTGGAGGAAGGCAAAGTACCTGAGTATAATACAGAATCATGGAATAGCTGAGGACGTCATCACTTCCCTCCACGACATGGCGCGCCAGTTCTTCACTCTGTCGCAGAAGCAAAAGATGGATTATTATATTGGAAGGTCAAGGGTGGCATTCCACATCTCGTCTCTGAACGACAATCTACTGATCCTCGATTTAGAAATTTCGCGGTTTCATGCCACTCTACTCAGAGCAGCCCACTGACACGGATCTCGGGTCCGCCCCCAAGCCAGACCCTACCTCACCCGGCGCCTTTTCCGAATCCTTCGATATTGGTTATGAAGTGGCAGCCGACCCTCTGAAGAGTCAACATGATGCCCTTCCTCCAGACACGTATGATCTGTATGGGGATAACCAGTGGCCTGAGGAGGATGTCCTTCCTGGGTTCCGCGAAGTCTATCTTCGATACTTTGCTGAGGCGATGACCTTATCTCGGGCGCTGATACGAATCTTTGCGCTAGCACTGGATTTACCCGAAGACTTCTTCGACCCGATGGTCAAGAACCCCGGGGCTACATCGAGGATGTTGCATTATCCACCGCAGCCGGTTGCGGGCGAGGTGAAAGTCGGACTTGGAGAACACACGGTAAGTTAATGCCCGAAAAGACGAAGCGAGGTGCGTACTGAATGGGACAATACCTGTTCTTCAGGACTATGAATGTTTCACTATACTCTCACAAGATCGAGTCCCGGCTTTGCAGGTTCTCAATGCTCGACAGGAATGGATCCTGGCGCCGCCCATTCCTGGCACCTTAGTAGTGAACATCTCGGACTGCCTGTCCATCTGGTATGCAGTGCTGTCTTTTGTAAATTCCAACATGTTGCAGGGTGTAATTATGTGTACAGGACCAATAAAAAGTTTAAATCGACCATCCATCGCGTCACCAACCTGACCGGACAGGAGCGATATACCATCCCCTTCTTCTTTGGTGTGGACTATGACACCACTGTGGCGGTGCTGCCGAGCTGCATTACCGAGGATAGTCCTGCGTGCAAGAAGCCGTTCAAAGCGGGGGAGGTAAGACGAATTGCATGCTTCACGTTCTTCCTTCTCAAGGAACAGGCTAATTTGGTACGTCATAGTGGGTGCGCCACCAATTGACTACGGCCTATGTTGGATACGAGCCAGAGCCGCCGACCCAAGGGAACTAAGACCATTGTGCTGGGACCAAGAGGGGCTGGAGAAGATGCATTGTGCAGATCCCCTAGCTGGGCATCTTGCACGACATACATAGTGGCTAAAGATCATTCTATCATCACAGCTCTTTGAACCAGCTCCAAAATGGCTACTCTGCATTTTAGAGTATGATTTCTTCTTCATCAGTGGACAAATGCAGTATTAGAGCGGTTCACATTCTGTCATCAATAGGCAACATTGCATGGGTGTTTCAGCCCAACCCCTATCGTATTCTCAGAATGTGACAATGCACCATTGAGAAGGTCATTGGGTAGAAAAAAGACCTCAAACTTGGGCGATTGCTCAGCCTCATCGTGATAGCCGACGCTGATGATCGTTGAGGGAAAAGCAAATATACAACGCCAAAGCAATATCTGCAATCTTGCAGCTGGATTGGCTGATCGAGTGAACCGGCACGATAAGGGAGCATCCGTGCTTCAGGCTACCCCTGGATTAGAGATTCACTTGGTTGCCGTATCTCGCGCCATCGATCTTGGGGAAGCCTCGAGTTGAGCCATACAACACATACTAAGGCTGGACATTCATGTGCAGAACAGCCAAAAGAATCATTAAGCAATGCCCACTCAAGCAACCGAGACACAACATGGATTCATTGTGTTTCCATCCCGTTGGGATCACATCTAGTGAAAGTCTATCACACTGTACACTCGATCTTCCCGATCCTATACTTGGAATACTGGTGCGCGATCTTCGCACTAAGTATACGCAACGACCACCTGCCCAAGCACGCGGTCCATATTTGCTTTTTCTAACCACCTCTTTGGGAGCACGGCCGATCTCCACGGCATCTCTGGGAGTGGGATGGCCAACTCCGCGGGCGCTTGAAGTTCACGATACGAGGTGCCCGATAGTAATTGTGATATCTACATTGCAGTGTCCCACCTTTTTCATGAAAATTTGATCTTCTTTCTTCTCTTAGAACAGATGCTGCAGTATGTAACACAAGTGACTTGATATCTTCACTGCTGATGGAGCACGCTGCGCTCTCCGCACCCATACAGATGGAATCAGAGGAGGTTCTCTCGCAAATTATCCTCGTCGTTTCGGTTGTTTCCATGGTAGGGTCAGGGTGGATCATTATCAGCTTTCTTGTGAGTATTGTACCAAGGCGCCTGCCTGCCTGTCTGTTTCTGACGCGCATCAGTTTATACCCAGTCTGCGCACTTTCCGTCATCAATTGATTTTAGGTGCCGTCTTTCCGTGGATAATGCAATCTAATTGCCACTGACGGATTCAGGTCTCGGGATCAGTGAATTTCTCGCCGCAAGCAATGTCGTCGTCCCAGCTGGTCTGAATACCTCGGGCATCGAGATATGGAACCCTTCCCTCAAGACATTCTGCAGCTTCAGTGGACTCATGGCTCAGACATTTCTGGTGCAGAGTAAGACTCGATATATTCATTCCCGACGGTAACATACTAACGGTTAGTACTCCTAGCCGACTATTGGATTCTTTCGATTGCAATTTGCACGCACCTCATACTGATGGACTATGTCCACGCTGCCTCGTGGGTCCAGAACCATAAAGCCGCCCTCTGGTGCATCCCATGGGGTCTCTCAATTCTATGGGCAGTGCTTGGCCTTGTCATCGTCGGATATGGGTATGCAGGTGGCTGTATGTCCCCTTTAGCTCTATGGTCTTGAGACGCACGATTGATAGAGGTCAGGGTGCTGGTTCACCAGTGATCGTGTCCGACTTTTCGTGAACTTCATTCCACGATGGACTATCATCCTTGTCATCCTGTGCATTTACACCCGAATATGCGTCTTCCTCTACCGGTCTCATAAAGCCCTCTCGAGCGACCAGGAAGTCACTCTGCAGACGCCGCATCCACACCAATGGCAGCTCCTGGATATCGATGACGGGCCTAGCCACACTTCTCATTCGTCAATTCCGCTTAAGAAGGTTAGTCACTTGAGTATCGGTGTTTCCGGTCTTAAGCCGATGACCGAATAATTAGGTGTCACTCCAGATGATGGTATATCCGACCGTATATGCAATGATCTGGATCATCCCCACTTCCGTGCGCATCTATCAAGGGATGACAGGAAAGCGAGCTCCACTGGCACTGGAGATTCTAGAAAAGGTGATCGAAGAAAACGACGGCCTTCTTTGAACTCTATTAATGGAGGTCTAGATCTGCATTATGTCACAGGGCCTTGTTGATGCAATTATTTACGGTAAGCGATATAAGCAGTTAGTCTCCTTGCACAGCGCTGACTGAAATTGCAAGGGTTTAATGAACGTTCCTGGAGTGGCTGGAGGGACTGGCTGCATGGCCTAGGACGATGATGAACTCAATGGGGTGACGACGGTGACATAACCACTTGCAGCTTTCGTTGTTTGATGACTATAGGTTTCTGTAGTAAGGTAAATGATCTACGGCGTGGATAGCCCTGGCACCTGTTCCGACGAATCATGCATGTTTCCAGTCAAGCTTCCCACGACATGTTCGGGTTTGATCACCATCTGTCCCAATCATATCTGTGAGGGCCTTGCAGTAGATAGGCGATCCAAGGGCTGTCCTCACTACTGGGCTGGGGTCTACCGTGGAACCACCACTGTTGATGGCCGGCTCAGTTTGCCGGGCATTTCCGAGGCAAGGATGAGATCCATCATCCTGGGCCAGATCATTCTAAGAGCCCATCACCAGTAGATCTGCCAGTATATTCCCGACACAGTCCGGAAGGAGAATGATTTGCTTGGTTTCTTAGGTAAATAGGGTAGTAGTAGTGTGCTGCAATAATAACCACACAAAGATGAAGACGGGAATCTGGCCAGCTTGATTGCACAATTGTGAGTATTGTGAAAGATCCATATATTTAAAAGAATATTTGGAACTTTTGATCTGTCAACAGATTCGTGGGGATCGACTCGATGGCTGACCAACTGGTGGGGAGACGGAGAGCCCGTGACTCCGGGCCGCTTTCGTCTCAGCGCGCTCTCTGCCGCCATGACGACTGTAACCCTGACTGCGATACTCACCTCCCGTTTTCCCTATCGGCATCCCCGTCGTAGCAGCAGCTACGGGCACGTTTCACAAACAATGTCATGATCGGTCTGTTCCAGTTTATATAACTTCAAATCTTCTAAGACATCGTAACTTCACCTGTCGAGTCATTGTTGAGCCCGCACGCAAACAATCCCCTTAACGTTCATGATGTCATTGACTTTCACATTTCTCCATGACGCATCCTAACCACAGTTTCGAGTCAACAATGAGGCTCATGACACCACGACTACGCCAATTTCACGTGGGCTGATCGATGGCTATTGGCAGCGCGCCCAGGATGGGCTTCTCCCCTGCGCGATCAACCGCCTGCAGTAGACTCGCTCATCGTCCCGAACCACGGTCGCGTCGTACTCAATTCCTCGAGTTTGACCTTACGGATATGAGGCAGACAAGCAATCCGGAGGGGAAGAAGCCCATGATGTCAGCATTGCTCAGGGTTCGGACTACAGCGTTGGTCCTCGCATCATCGATCCTTGCGGAGGAATCGGAAACTCATATAGCGTCCAGCAACCACGTTCACTGAGAACCCAATTGCTCAATGCTATGCTTCCTACCATATTCAACCTCGACTGAAATGATACAGCAATGGCTTCCACTCGTGCTAAGGGAACCCTTGCTGTCAATGGGGGCACAGCATCTCTCCCAATCCTGCGGGAGACGGTAAACACCGTCTCTCAGGAGTGCCCGACTCGTCTCGGGCTTACCGCAAATGAAATCCAGGCTAAATCACCCACCCTGGATGTCTTCTTTGACACTATTGCTGCCGAAAGACTTCGGCGTATGCCCCCAGACGGGAGTCGCCTTGATGGAGCTTTGCGGCGTGCCTCTCGGCTGGCCGTTGCCGTCGGCTCCCTTCGGGACTCGGTCTACAGCTTCATGGACGGGGCTGAGGAAGCCACCAAGCTGATTTGGGGAACCAACCTCCTCTTTCTCGAGGTAAGCCTTTTGGTCTTTGGTGCAAAGTATCGCCGTTCGGATCGCTGACATGAGTCCGTAGATGGGAATTGATCATATCGATATCCTGGAGAGTCTGTATGGCCGCTACGGTCGTGTCACACTGGGCATCTCCCTGTTGCTTCAGCAAGAGACTTTCTTCCCGGTTTCACGGCCCCTTCAGCAGCAGGTTGCGGAAATCTATGCCCATCTGCTGGAGCTCGTTGTTCATGTCACCTCGGAATATCGTCAGGCTACACGGACCCAGCATTGGCAGACGATGACTTCTGCCGTGGATGCCGCGTTCTTCCGCTATACAAATCGGTTCATAACCCACTGGCGGCAGATTTTTGCCCATGTCCTCGAGTCTGGTACAGCCAAGCAGCATACTACCGTCGACTTGCCTGCTATCTACCAGTTCCTGGAGCTTCAGGACCGTCCGCTCCAGATGCTGCTCGAAGGTCATAGCCACTCCCTGGCTGACGGCTCATTCACCTGGTTCGAGCCCCATTTGACCACGTTTGCCATGGGAAGACGTAGCATGATGATGATCCGGGGCAACCCGGGCTGTGGAAAGAGTGCTTTGGCTCAGTGGACCGTTGAAAGGCTTCAAGCCTCCTCGGAGTATGATATCTGGAACGTCATCCCCATCGTCATCCGGTCGGACGTCCCAATCTCGACACTGACGCTCAGTATCCTCAAGGGGATTCTGATCCAGATGCTTGATCATTGTGTGAGCAGTCGCAAGACCCAGGACGCCATCCTCGCAGCTGTTACCGGTGCTATGGAATTGGCCACATCCGGCGCTTCCGATCCCCAGGTGGAAGGCCAGCTATGGACAGCCATCAGGACCGCAGTCCAGTCCAACCTCCACTTCATGCTAGTGGTCGATGGGTTCGATCAAATGAAACATGCGGAGACCACTGTCAGCGCGTTCCTCGGCTTGCTTCAGGATACCGTCGCGAACACCCCCTCGAAGCTGATCATCTTCAGCCGGCCAATGTCGACTGACCTGCTACCTATTAAGGAGACAACCAGTACGCACCAGATTGCAATGAACACAGCCACGACTCACCAGGATCTTCAAGAAGCCGTGACAGATATCATGCTTTCGGACTCCTCTTTCTCGGGACTAGAGCCATCCCAGCGTGAGTCCCTGACTACGTCTATTGTCAACCGCTCCCAAGGATGCTTCGTGTGGGCACAGCTTGCCGCTGAGGCAGTGCGCCACCAGACCACCTACAATGAAATGACAACAGCTGTCCACAGAATGCCTAACACGTTGGGTGATCTCATTGACTACCACCTGCGCAATATCAACCTCAACCGTCTTGGTACGCAGAGCCTACTTGCTTGGTTAGTAGCTAGTGAGCGACCACTGCGCATCCCTGAGGTTGAGCAACTGTTGTCTGTTGATCTGAAGTCCCTTAAGGTTTCGACTCGTCCACCAAATGTAGAGCGTGATGTCTTCCAGCCTCTTGGGCGGCTGATCTCCGTGCGTGATGGCTTCGTTTCTTTCCGCCATCCCATGGTCCGCGAGCACCTCCAGGCTAGAGCCCAGATGCGCCAGGAGCTTCCATTCTCTCTGGCGGATGCACACTACGATCTCTTGATCCGCTGCCTGGCGTGGGTGCGTCGCTCGGTATCCGACGAGATCTCTGTCTCCTGGGACAAAATGAGTGTGGAGGTCCGCGACCGCTACCTGGACGCCTATGTGCTTCTTGAATATACCGCCCGGTACTGGCTTTCCCACATGCTGTCTTCGCCGATGGCTTCCTCCGACCGCGAGCTCTCATTCCCGTCTGCCTTCCGGCGCGCTCTGCCCGACACTGTGTTGTTCGCCCAGCTGGAGCTTACCAACCGTGAGTCGCAGTTCAGTCGGTCAAGTATTGTTGAACTGTATCGATTGGCGGTTGGAGTCCGCCGTGTCGTGCTCGGAAGCGATTCCCCGGCTGTCCTACAGAGTCTGATCCTTAGTGCTCGGGCGTCTGAGAAGGCGCGTACCTCCTGGGCTAATGATCATCTCTACCAGGCTTGGACGGTGAGCCGAAGTCAGCTGGGAACAAGCAGCACAATCACCCAGGAGCTGGAGCAGATGCTCGTCTCCTCGCCGGCCGCTGGTCGCCTGACCAGTGGAGGAGGCAAGTCTGTCACATTGAGAGAAATGACGATGACCGGCTGGGGCAAGTCCGACATCAGCTTCCCCCAGCGGCTCCAGTATCTTGATCGCCTCGTTAACATGTATCGAGAGAACAACCAGAATGATGAGGCATATAACGTTTCCAAGGACTTTTACCGCCAGACTGTGAAGACCTACGGTGCTCACTCGTCGGAGACCATGCAAGCCGCTGAATTCCTCACGAAGAACTTCGATATCGCACCTTCCGACGAGCTAGCTTTGGAATTGGCCAGCATCAAGTATGAAAACATGCTTCGTTCCATGGATGCGACCGACCCGCGCCGGGTGACTTACTCTCTCTACCTGGCTCAGCTATATGAGCAAAATGGTCAAGTGTCCAAATCCGAGACCGTGCTGTCCCGACTCTGGACAGGACTGTCGGCACGTGAGGCTGATTCCAAAACATCCTGGGACCAGAAGACCAAGGTTGCTTTCTACTACTCGCAATTCCTGCGTCGTCGGGGTCAATCTGACCGGGCCACGTCCATCCTCCGCGAACTTTCAGCCGATCTGGAAGCTGAGGGTGGCGTCAAGTCTCCAGAAATGCTTAAACGTGCCGAGGAGTTGCGGGGTGAAGCGCGGGAGATGAATCTGACCGATATGGACCGCGCACTCGCACTGGAGATATGGAAGTACTACCAGTCATCTGGTCAAGTGTACTCATCTCAAGCAGTGTCCTTGGCGGAGACACTTACCGAGGGTATGATCCCCAGCCAAGATGCTACTACAGCCGAAACCGAATACATTATGGCGGGAATGTCTCCCGAAGACCGGGAGCTTCTGCCCGGGTGGATAGACAGCCTGGCCTCTGCAGGAGATACCCGCAACATGAAGTCCATCATGATGCTTTGTCACCAGTTGTCTACTCAATGTATTCGGGAGGAAGAGTGGCGTAAGGGTTCAGACTATTCCTGGGCTGTGCTGAAGCATGCCTGGCCTGACGTCGAGGATGTCCAAACGAAGGCCAAGTTCTCTTCTGATCTGTCCCCGTTGATGTCTAGTCTTGCCCTTGACTACGCCTACTGTATTTTCCGTCGCTTGGATGTTAAGAGAGCCACCATTGTCTACGGCAACGCGTTCAAGGCTTCGATTACCGCAGACCAAGTTGCGGTGCCCGCTGTTACTACAGTGACGAAGACCGTGGTTGAGTTCTACGAGACCACATTCCAGTTTGACAAGGCGTTGATCCTCCTGCGACAGGTGAGCGAGTTCTTTGCCTCGCGCCTAGGTGCGCACGACAAGCACACGCTGGACAGCCGCTATTATGAGGCCGACCTGGCCTTGCGTCTGGACCGGCGTGCGGAGGCCGAAGATAGCTACCGTCATATCTACAAGGCTTGCGTTCGTGAGGGCAGGATCTCCTCGTCTGGTGTTCGTGCGGCTGTGGCTCTAGCCAACCTTTACGAGCAAGACAAGAAATGGGATGCTGCGCTCGACGTTTATCGTCATCTCTGGCCGACCTTGGTGCACTTCGATGAAAAGGACGGCTACGACCGTGCTTTGCAGGAAGGATTGCTTCCTAAGACCTATGCTGGGTACATGGCCATCCTCGAGAGTACATCTGGTCAAGCGGGCTACGAGGAGCGTTACCAGGTTGCATCACAGCACCAGCAGCTGTGCCGTAAGCTGTATGGAGCGACTAGTCACCGTACCCGAGATGCAACCATGTATCTCGCGGCGCTCTGCGCTAGCAGCGACCGGCATACCAGCGAGGCTATTGACCTGTACCGACAGGTGCTAAAGACCAGCGACTGGGTGTCTGCCACGGAGGCGTCACGCTCTCTGCCTGACATGACACAGCCGCTACCCATGGACATCAAGCATCGCATGGCCCAGCTTCACTTGCGCAACAAGGATACGTCGCAACAAGCTCGCGCGTTGTACATCGAGGAGTTGGCACTCTCCAAGCAGCAGCAGGGTCTCTCCGCGCCCACCACGCTCATGTGGCTACGTGAAATCGCTCGCTTGTACTCTCTGCAGGACAACATTGAGTCCCGTCGGAAAGGTGCCGACCTGCTCAATGAACATGTTGATGAGGTCGTCCACGTTACCGCCAATCAAGACGCCCTGATATATCGCGCCCGCCGGCTGGCAGAGATTTACCTGGAGTGTGGATATAATACCGAGGGCTGGGCGCTTATCGACAGTCTGCACCAGCAAGTCATCCACGACACCCCCGCGGCACAGCGAAAGAATCTCGAAGAGTACCGACCGGCAGTGTTTGTAGCATCTTTCGAGGAGGTCTTTGGCCGCACACGCAGCTCGAGCCAGATTCTGGACGACTTGTCTCGTGAAGGCGAGGTGTACAACGTCTTCCAGCAGAGCCTGGCTGGTCATGATCTCATGCCCACCCTTGCAGCTGGCGAGAAATTGCATCGCTTGCAGACGGAACAGAAGCGCAGCACAGCAGCACAGAGCACCCAGAACAAGCTGTACGACTTCTTCTGCAATACGCTTTCTGTTTCGCAGTCAGCCCGCAAGAAGGATGCTGTGTATCAGTTCTATTCCTTGTGTCGGCGCGAGTCATTGCGTGATGACTACAATCTCAACATTATCACCCAGACCACCAGCATGGTTCGGGATCTCTGCAACCAGTCGAGATTCCAAGAAGCCACTGATGTGACTAGTGTGTTCCATTCGTTCGTCCATTTGACCGATGGATTGCGCTCAACGGAGAGCATCTTCATTGCCATCAAGCTGTGCTTGTACCTCTGCGGTTACCAGGTGAACAAGTGCACTGAGACTACCACGGCCAATGCAATGTCCCTGGAGTCGAAGACCCTTCTCCAGGAAGTCATGAACAACGCACGTGATATCCCTATGGAGTTCTCGGAACTTCCATTCGAGGAGCTCAACGATCTGGTGACAGTGCTGGGAGAACACGAGATGTTCCAAGATCTCGAGGTAGGTTCCCATCCCCAATTCATACGGTCTCCCTTCTAACAGAACAGGTTATTCTCACCGACCTCTGGACCTCCCGGATTGTCCAGAAAACCTGGACGCTGCCCGCAGTTGTCTGGATTGGTCGACGCCTGGTCGAGACCCGGTTCTGCCGCGGCCATGTCACGGCCGCCACGACACTGGGCAAGGACATTTGCTACAACCTGCGCCAAGTCTGGGGTAACTCTGACCCCGTCACTCTCGAAATGAACAAGCTGCTCTCCGGACTGTACACGGCGTCCGGGAACAACCTCGCTGCGGCTGCTCTGCATGAGACAGCCCTGGCAGAGCTGCTGAACGATGAGACCGAAGACCAGTCAGCTGCCATCAACGCCGTCACTCAACACCTGGAGCTGTTGCAGCGGGCACAGGCTCGTCTGGCCAAGGAAGGGCAAAGTGCAGCCATCGATGCGTCGGCGGCTCAGGAGCGCGTGCAGCAGATTGCAACCAAGTTTGGCTTGTCATCGGCCAAGCTGGAGCAGCCGTCCACGGCGGATGATTCACTTGGCATGTGGGAACGCCCCCGGCGGTTCAGCTTGGATGTCGAAGAGGCAGCCAAGCACTCAAACCATCTGCGTCAATCTAGTGGGTCTGCATTGCTGACGGGCAATGCGGGTGCGAAGAGGCTTTCGATTACGGCTTTGTAAGGGGATGAACTAGCAGATTGAAAACCAGATTGCCAGTTTTTGTAATTAGGTGTTGGGGTGTTAATAGTGTTATAGTAATGTAATAATACTGTTTCTTCTGTTAATCTTACTACCAAGATGGATCTCGTAAGTTTCCTAAAGGACATTCTATGAGTCTTCTATATAAGTAATTCTGGAAAATCAAACAAAAGAGTGAAAGGTACTATCCTATGCTTCTAGTCTGTTTGTTGTTGAGATTAATAGATGACAAGGCGTCTAATGACATGGAACACAATCAGTGCCTTACTAGATCACGTTATTTCCGACCGGGCACCGCTGATCATGGATGCAATGAGTTTGCAACCTCCACTCTCACCTTTAGCACAACATAATGGCTACCACCATCACACTACCCTACTATGCGCCTGACATTCCCTACACGCTACCCTCGGCTTCAGAGATCGATGCAGCACCCGACATATCCCTGGCGTATGGAGGCCGAAGAATAGTTGAGATTGGAGAACATTTCGTGGTGAAGTTTGGAACGGGCGTGAACCTTGTTGAAGGGGAGAACATGTTATTTGTTCAAGAGAACACCAAACAACATACGGGTGCCGCGAGTCTTTGCGCTTTATTCGGACTCCGCTACTGGCAAAAATTACATTGTTATGGAGAAAATTGCTGGACAAACTCTTTTATCCCTATGGCCCCAGCTCAGTCCATCAGAAAAGGAAACTGTCGTCGCTACACTTCACAAATATTTCAACGAGCTACGACACTTGACGCCGCCAGACTACTACGGTAGTTTAGGCAGAAGATGTCTGCTTGATGAAATATTCTGGACTTATGACCCTGAACCGTCGATTAATGGACCGTTCACATCGGAAAATGCTCTGATCGAGGCAATGGCTCGGAAATATACCTACGACGGTCGGCCACCGTATCGAGCTGACTTCTACCGCCAGTGTTTACCGCGTTTGCTCCGTAGCCATGGTCCAACATTCACCCATGGTGACTTTCAGCGGAAGAACATACAGATCCAAAGGGTGGTAAACAACAGTGATGGACATGATACCTCAAAGCTACAGGTGACTGTTCTTGACTGGGAAAAGGCGGGTTGGTATCCAAGCTACTGGGAGTATTGCCTTACTGTCTGCGCGTTACGATGGGATGATGATTGGTGTCTTTGGGTTGAGAAAGTGCTGGACCCTTGTGTCGCTGAATCTGCGTGGTTCCAGGCACTTCGGCTAGAGTTATGGTCTTAGAGCGTTTTTATTGATATAATATCTCCCGGTTAGACATCGCATACCACAGCGAAACGCTACGCGTAGTGAGTAATTGTCCGATACGGGCGCATAAAGGGGTAACCGTTGTCACGTCACACAGCCTTGGAGATACTCTCTTCCGGCAGGGGGTAAGTGCACGGCAGTCAACAGTCGCCTCCCACGAGGATCTTTTCCGCTACACTTCCGGTAGATGGCTGTAAGTGCTATGATATTAGTGTCCAATGTAATACCAGTCAGGCTAATGACATGTAGCCTTAATGAACACCTGCGTTTATCGGAACGCTTCCCAAAATTCGACGTGCTTGCGCTTCAAAACATCGTGTCAAGTGCATCTGGTTATTCAATATCCGAACTCCAGTCCTTTAGTAAGTTATCAGAGGGTGGGTACAACCGCGTATTTGAGGCTACTTTCAGCGATGAAAAGTGTGTTCTCGCGAGACTACCCTATCCAAGTACAGTGCCAGAGCATTATACAGTAGCGAGCGAAGCAGCGACTATGAGATACCTTCGCCTACATGGATTTCGCATACCAGAGGTATATGCCTGGTGCTCAACGAAGGCTAATTTGATTGGGGTTGAGTACATCATTATGGAAAAGTTGGATGTTACTCCTCTTGGTCATAGATGGTTTTCAATGACCCAAAAGGAGCAGCATAAGATTATGACACAGATAGTTGAATGGGAGACGCGTTTGATGTCATTGAAGTTCCTGCCTCTGGGAGTCTCTACTATTCGAGGGATCTTCAATCTGAAAAGAGGACAAAGCTAGAGGAGCCGGGCAGCACAGCGTTTTGCATAGGGCCAATAGCTCATTACAGTTGGTGGCATGGCGAGAGAAGCATTATAAATATTGACCTCGGACCTTGTGGGTGATTCTATCAGGTATCATAACACTCATAACACTAACTTTACCGGGAGAAAAGGGTCATTATCCGTCGACATCTTCCGAGCAGTTGGCGAACGTGAACTAAGCTGGGCCAAAGCCTATGCAAAGCCTCGCTTGCCCTATGAGCGCCTTTATAGGGATATCTACGAATTCAAGCGTGTTTCACCAGACACCCACGTTACAGATCTTGTCATTTACCTTGAGATGGTATCCTGTTTAGGATATTGCAACCCATCCTTGGATCGACCAGTCATGCGCCACCCCGACCTACAGCCAAACAACATCCTCGTGTCTGACATAAATGAAATAACTGGCCTCATAGACTGGCAGCATTGCGCGATTCTCCCTCTCGGTATCGTTGCTGGAATTCCGGCTCACTTCCAGAATTACGGCGATCCAGAGTCAGAAATGCTCAAACAACCTCAGCTTAAACTGCCCTCTGATTACAACTTCATGTCACCCTCCGAGCAGAATTCAGTCAAGGAAATTCATTGCAGAAGAGTGATCCATTTCCTGTACGCCGCCCTGACTAAAATGCTAAATCAAGATCATTACAAAGCTATCTTCGACCAGTCAATTATTTTCCGACAACGCCTTTTCCAGAGTGCCGGCACACCTTGGGAGGGAGACTCAGTATCACTGCGTGCTGAGCTCATTCGCTCGATATTGAACCGGTCGGCGATCGTCCAGATTAATAAAGTTGCTCCGCCGGTGGACTATCCAGAAGATGTCCGGGAGACTGTTGACTTGGATGCGCAGCAGAGAGAGGCCGATGTGGCAATGGAAGAGATGCGACATGCTTTAGGGGTCGATATTATGGGCTGGGTACCGAATGAAGATTATAAGGGTGCCAGAAGACTGGCATCTGAGATAAAGAGTAAAATGCTTGAAGCAGCGAGACTCCTGCTGAGGTTATCGCTATCCGAGAACGTTTCCCTTTTGATGATTACGATCAAGGGGCTCAAGCCAATGTTTGAGAAATTGTTGACATTCTCAGGAGATTCGTTGCTGGGCTATTTGGTTTGAAAGCATGATTCGGCGGCAGCTCAGATACCAGATATATTTGTTGACCAAAATGGATAGATTCAAAATGCAGCATAATACTAGACGAATATCAACCCAAAAATGTCAAACCCCGATCAATAAAAGAAAAGAGCCCTGCGGGAAGAAAAATTTGGTGAAAAAAAGAATGACCAGACTGGGGCTCGATCCCAGGACCTTATCGGTGTTAACGATACGTGATAACCAACTACACCATCCGGCCAATTCTATACTTGTGTTTCAAGTTTTGTGCGATATGAAGAAATTAAGGTCTAGGGGTGGAACATAGCATTGGGCATTAAGGAATCCCTTCGTTCGTTTGGTTCCTATAAAAAGCCGCCATGTCCAGAGCCTTTCCTACTACGGTCAGGAATTGACGAAATGATTGGGATATAGCAAGGATGCAATGCCCTCTTATTGGAAAGGGGGCTGTGAAAAGCGATATGGGACAGGAGGTGCGGTAAAGTCAAGGCTTTCCAGAGATTCCCGGTTCAAGAAGGCTTCTGCTAAAACGTATATCAGAAAGTTGGGAAAATTTAATCTACTGAATTCTGTACAAATAAGTTCAAAAATTGTCCAATCTTGGAAGACTGGTCAACTTACCAAACACCTAGGTATCGTAACGATGGCAGCAGCCCTATACACCAGTCTCATTTCAACCGCGCGGATAAGGCGAAGATCCTCAGTGCCCGATTCAAGCCTGTTGATGGTCGAGCCCGCACCCATCATGTATATGAAGATGGCACGGGGACCTCCGAAAAGGGTGATGTTCGTGAGTATTCAACTACTTCCACATAAGCGGCTTGAGACAAACTTGGAACGTTAGGTCCGGGTTAGGTTGCATTTAGACATCCTTAATTGCTTTATCGCGGTGATACCCGATCTTGCTCTGTTCTCCTGTGGTGCGGAATTGACATGGTAGAGTCCCAGTTATTCTCATCAGAATCGAACTTCTCATGTTCATATTGTCTTGCATCCCACTCAGTCCAACCTCCATGATCTCTGAGTAGCTTTGCTGCACCGAATTCAGCATTCTCTTCTGCCAATTTGACTGCTCGAATGTATTGGCGGCGGCCACTTGCCACAATTGTTGCACCTTCATTCAGAAGCAGCTGCAGCATATCAATGCGACCATGTTCCGCAGCACCCTCCAACGCTGTTCTGCCATTTTGCAAGGACTTTTTTGCGTTGACATCTGCCCCCTTTACAAGTAATTTGCGAGCGATACCGATGTATCCTTTGATTGCAGCAAATTGGAGCGCTGTTCCGCCCCAAAATTCAGCCGCACACTGATTAGGATCTGCTCCAGCGTCCAATAGCATGTCCACTATTTGAACATTTCCTTCTTCCACCGCATCTTGTAATGCCGTTCTTCCATACTGAGAGGAGGCTGGTCGGTTGACATCTGCTCCTGCGTCAAGGAGGACCTTTACAATGTGCCTGTTTCCGGTGTTCACTGCAGCGCAGAGGATCGATTTCTCTTTGCCACTTTGGTTGGGTTTGTTCCACGAGATGCTCCATTCACAATCAGCACCGAGAGCAACCAGGCGTCTAGTTAGAGAAATATCCTGCCTCTCAACGGCGAGCCAAAGTGGCGGATAGGAGTCATGAGTAATCCTGACCGCCTGATTCACATCCGCACCGGCATCCAATAAATCCTGTACAGCGGATTTGTGACGGTAATCCAGGGCTCTGGTGAGCGCTCGTCCTTTTTCAAGCGCAGTCCATGTTCGAGAATGTAGAAGAGCCCCGAGTGACACACCGTTTTGCCAAAGGACTGCTCTCTCAAGGATAGATTCGAGAACTTCGGAGTCGATGACTCCGTGCAGCTGGTACAGGAAAATAATATCCAAAGCTCCGTTGGCAACAACTTTGCCTCCCGGGTCAAGACCAATTTCTAAAAAGCGCCGCACAAGAAAAACAAGGTGATAATGTTCCAAAGCCCTCTCGAAGGCATTTGGGACAGCACAACGCTGCTGTGACATATTGTCCAAAAGCAGTTGAAGAATTTCGAAACGTTTCGAACCGCATCGATAATCCTCGACTGCTGCTGTCAGTTCAAGATCTCCGATGCTTGCTCCTCGTTCAATTAGAAGCTTTGCAAATGAAAGGCTCTCTGGAAAGTCTAAGAAATCAAGGGCAGCTGCAAGCGGAGATCTGCAAACCGTGGAGAGATCTAAACGCCTCCAGGACCACCTACTAGAAAACCAAGGCTGCTTTTTAGAAGGATTTGCCGTCATGAAAAATGGCTCAAGACCGACACTTTTAGGCTGCTTGTCGACATTACGATCGAGCAAATATCGGACAAGACCATCATCGCTTCTTTGGGACATCTTGATGGCAGACACAAGTATCGGTTGACCATAGCGATGGAGGATTTCAGGCAGCAGACCAAGCTGTTCCAAGTACATTGCAGTTTCCAAATTTCCAATTTGAATCAGACTTTGTCCAGTATTTGTCGCTCCGGCTTGGGAAAGTGATCCAATCATTTCGCAGTGCCCACCTGCTATGGCTGCGCCGAGGATGGTGTCTGGGACTTCGTTGTAGATTTCATTCTTCCTTGCGCCCCAACTCAATAGCGAAATTGTAGTGTCGAGATTGTTCATCTCCACATTTTCATACAGGATGGAGGTATAGTAATCCTCCATCTGAGTTGGCTCTACTCTGGCTCCGTAGGATATAAGCAGTCTAGAAGTTTCGAGATCGTTTCTCTCAAGAGCCCGTTGCACGAGGCTCATTCCTTGGATTCCATCACCAGCAGAGACTTTTGCTCCCGCCGATAACAGACGCTGTGTGATATTGATGGCACCATATTCAACCGATAAGACGAGTGGGGGGATGTATTCATCTGATGCCTCTTGGTGGTTGATATCTGGATGAGCATCCAAAAGAAGACCGATTATGTCGTCGTTGCCTTTCCTTATCGCGAGTCCAAGTGTGGTTGACTGGACAATGTTGTCTCTACGCAAAAGCACGTCTTGGATTGCGTCAACATCCGCGCCTAAGGCAAGCAGATATTGTGTCAGAGACACATCGTTTCGGTCCACAGCAAGTCCGAGGATCGAAAGGTCGATTAAATCACCGCTTTGTTTGTTGATATTGGGGTCAATCTCAAGCAGCATAGAGAGAAGGCATGGGGTTCCCGTCTTAATTGCGGCGCTTAATGCCTCTCCTGATATAGGAATATTTCGAGCCAAAAAGATTTTGAGGAGCTCAATATTTCTTGAGCGGATTGCTTCTAAAAGCGCCCATTCTAACACTTTGATATCCTTACATCCAGAACCATAGGACAGGAACAAGTTGCACATGTCAAGTGCTGCTCGGTGGTCTCTGAATCTGGAAGCCAGTATCAAAGGTGGCATAGGAAAACCATCATGGATAACTGGGGTATCAGGGCTCATACCAGCTTTCAAAGCCATCCGAACTGTTCTTACGTCCTGTGATCTCACCGCACTTGCAAATATCTTGTGCGATATAGCATGTGCTGTTGCACCGGGGAGAGAAAGTAGATATTTGAGGTTGCTGACGGTATTCAGGCCCGATAGATAGAAGATTGCCATGATCGTTTGATCTTCCTTGCTGATACTGGGCACTCCTCGCTTCTTATCATGGAAATTGTCGTTCGTCTCATCATCGGAGTCCCTATTCGTCACGTCATCCGTGTATTCCTCCAAGGGTTTTCGTATATTTGAATGCCAAGACTTATCATCAGGCTCACCGATTTTAAAACCGTTGGAAAGCAGAAAAAGTGCCACTTGTAAGCGCTCCACGGCATCACTGCCACCTCTGAGACCACAAATTTTTTCAGCTACGTAAGAGCTTTGACCTTCGTGTTGTTCAGGCATTATTGAGCTCAGAGCTGCTGCTACCCTGGAGCTATTGCGTCCGGTGCGCAGCACTTTGGCATGGTTTCCGACCATAAGCGAGCCGAGAGAATCGATGAGACCACGTTCGATGATTTGGGAAAATAGGTCCTTTTCCCGAACCCCTGGAAGTTGTTCCAGTGATATAAATAGGTTGCCTGCATCGTGTTACTGTTAATCAATCTCAAAGTATTTGTTAGATGTGAGTCTTACTCGGGACGTTTTGTAATCTGCTTAGCGCAGTATTAGAGAAAATGAACCATGGGAGATTCTGTGGCCATGTAATTTGGAAGATCGACGGACCAGGAGAGCAGACAATAAGTCCTTCAGGTGTTGGGGACAATGGTTCTATGTTGTGTCAATCATCTGAGTTGAGCATCTTTAACTAATTTCTGGACAGGCTCACCTCGACGATACTTGTCAATCTCTCTCTGAAATCCCTGACGATGGATCTCAAATTGCACTGTTTTTGGATTGTAATAGACACCATCGAACCAGACTTCGAGATTCTGTCCTTCAGCTGCCCTCTTTTGTATTTCGCGATTGACGTGTCTCCACTTGAGAGCGCCCATGCGATATTTCTTGAAACCCCATTTCTTAAGCCTTGCCGTGTATTGATTTTTCCTGCACAATGTGAGAAATTGACCGATCATAGTTCACAGGAGCGTCGGAGTGCATACGTTCTGCGAAATCCATATGTTGTTTCCATGAATTGCAAGACCTCCTCTAACTTTTTGTTCTCTCTGATGTAAAGGCGCTCGATCTCTGCCTTATGAGCCTCCCATTCTGCATCCGCCATGGTGCCGGTCAGGGATGAGAGTCTATCGAATGGCAGAGTTGAGGAGCACAGGAGTTATAGATCGCATCCGGAGTTGAGTCTATGATGAATCTACGTTGGAACATTCTAAGTATTTATTTCCGGGTGGGCTAGGGCGGAGGTAAGGCTGAGCGAGGTATTCGGAGGCTGTAAACCCCTGATTTCCACGTCATCACCGCCACATGATCGTGCCAAAGTATGCACACTATGCGGCCCGAGGAGCCCTGATTGGATATAATCAAAATTTGGTGAGCTGGGGATGTGCCCCGCCCACCTTGTTTGACATGCTATGATCGGGCAAGCGTCTAGAGCCCTGTGGCTGGACGCAAAGGAATCCCATTCAGTGATTAGCTGATATCCAAATTTGGGGGCCCACTACGCTGATCGGCGCGATCAGCGCCAACCCTAGTCATGCAAAACGGATCTCCGTATGTGCTTCTTTAATCCAAAGCAAGATGACGATGGAATACGCTGATTGGTTCTCATCCAATTTGCGATGAGGCACGAAACGTTCACTGACAAGAACAATATCTTGGAAAGTCTAGTGTGGTAGATGAACTGTTCGCCCAGGTCATCAACCCCCGATAGCGTTGTATATATAAGTCCCCTTTCTATCCCTCTAAACCTTTTGTTCCTCAAAGCAACAACGCTCTCCAGGTTCGAGAGCTATTCGCTCTTCAATTATCTCCTTGGCCTTTATCCCTCTCAATAGCTTGGTCATGTCGTGGACTCCGTTCGATATCGACAGGTGTGCGCCCGAGCTCTGGAGACAAGGCGCTGACCAGTTGATTGGATGGCCCTTAGAATCCACACGAAATATTGCTCAGGATTCGCTCTTCCCAATATATGAGAAACAGGACAGTTCAACCATCAATCATTTAATGTTCAATCATTCCCTTCAGCCAACCTCAGTACCGCCCCTATTCGATTATACACAGGCCCCAGTGGTCTTTCAGGCTGATACGGGGACATCGAGCGAGATGGCTAATGTCATGTTGTCTGGGTGCTATCAACACGATGGCAGACCCCTACAAAACGCCTACCAATGTCCGATATTGGACCAATCCTTAATGCACAATGTCGATCAGAGCGTTTGTATATATCAAATGCCGATGCCGGAAGTCCACAATATATCTCCCAGGAAACCCAAGGCTTGGTATTGTCTTCTTATTTTGTTATCCTCCTCAGCTTCACTGACTATTCAATAGTATCAGATGCGTATGGGAAGGCTGCAAATACAGTGGGGGGTTCAAAAGCAAAGCCTCACTGAGCCGACATATTGAAACACAACATGTTTTTCCCGGAAAATATCGATGCACAATCTCCAAGTGCCACAAATCATTCAACCGGAAGGATAACCTGCGGGAGCATTTGCGTCGGAAGCATCACGTATATCTTTGAGATTCCAAATATTTGAGCTTGTCACCTCAAAAGTCTTTTTGAATAACTGGATTTTGTTCTGTCTAGTAGGCTGGAAAGTTATCTATAGTAGTAATCAACGCCATTAACATGTTTGATCTTCATTCTTGGTTTGTTCCGCTTTACGAGGGCAGCGTTTTAGACGAAATGAGGATATTAGTCAATAAATAAGGGGACCGAAGATGGTTGAACGCCAACTGAATTCGCATGTGTGAAGACTCTGGCGAGGTTCAAGGGTCCGTATTCATTATGAAGTCACGAAGCACACTATACCACTGAAAAAAATCATGCCTTTCAAAAGCGAGCCAAGAGGGTCTGAGTCACTGATCACTATAGGGGTGCCTTCAGAGCTAAGATCGCCAACTCTATGGGGAATGCAAAGACGAAGAGCTGCTAAATCGAAGGACAAGCAGTCTGATGTCTATCAGTTTGTCGAATAATCAATGGGTTGCGTGAATATGGGTTCCGCGTGAGGAGGCCGCGACGAAGGGGGTTTTATAGAACCGGTCGGGCGTCGGCGCTAAACCGCATATAGTAATCCATTGTTGCGACCGGAGAAGCCCTTATTTTAGATTTTTATCACTAAACAAACATTTGACGGAGGACGTGGGTCGTCCCTTCCTTTCAAAGCTTACAAGCACAGTCTAATTCTAAATCTAAGGCTTCTTTCTTCTTATGTTTATCTTCATTGGCATCCATTTCTTGAGCCTCGCAGCCGTACTAGTACCTGGCTCCAGTGCTGCATTCACTAAAGCGGTCAGAGTTATATAATATGTCTGCTTACACCTTCATCATCATTGACTCGGAGCGCACCTCGATCATCCAATCTTCTCGAATCGGCTGCTACTGATAGTTAGTACTACTGGCTAATGCTAGAAATACTCCCATGAAGATCATGCATGAGGTTTGCAACATGTCTTCTCCTGCAAAGCCGTGCGTAACTTCCAAATTTCACAAAACGATTCTGTGCTGACGTGGAACCACGACTTTTAAACCACGCTAAAGTAGCCTTGCATGTCTACAGATCCTGCCCCCACCTCGGAAAACCAGGATCATGAGGTCGGTTGAGAGGAGGGGGCTTGCTGAGAGGTCCAAATAGACGACTCTCATCCCTGAATACCAGTATTATGTCCATCTATTAATTATCCGAGTTCATTACAGTTCCTGCGCGGCATATGCAGTGGCTGAAATACCATCTCGACAAACCCTGTCGCCTGTCAACTCATTATGACCCGGCGACTAGTACGACTAAGCACCCGGAATTCCTTCAGCCAAACAGGTCGATCGACACCCGCTAGTGGTATTTAGGCCCCTCCCCCCTCTGGCTCCCGCTCCTTCTTTCGTGCTTGCTATTCGAAAGCTACTCCAGAACACTCCACCCTAGTCACTGTCCAAGGATGGCCCAAATGCAACTCATTTTATCCAGCAAACGCCGGAAGAGCACCGGGAAGAGATCCAGGACAGGTTGTCGCACCTGCCGGTAAGAAGGGAGCAATGCATATAGAAACTGATGGCCTGTGACACTAGCACTAACCGAGGACCTTCAATGCCCAGAATCCGACGCATCAAGTGTGATGAATCGCCAGGCCAATGCAACAACTGCGTCTCTGCTAATTGGAAGTGCGATGGGTATGATGCGTACCGGTTGCCGCAGCGCCGCGGTCTACAGGACATAGGCACTCGACTTGGCTGGACGATGACGTCGGATGAACACCGTTGTTACTCCTATTTTCAATATCACTCCGTTACAAATCTGGCCGGGTTTTTCGATTCCCCGCTCTGGCAGCAGTTGGCCCTACAGATGTCTCGCGCTGATCCGGCTGTCTTTCATGCGGTGAATATGTTCAGTGCTGCGCACCAGGAGTCGGAGATGCATGATATGCAGATGTCTGCACGGTCCCGCGTTGGGAGCCAGCAGTATTATTTCTCTCTTCACCAGTCTACACGAGCCATAGCGCTCCTGAACCAGCGCCGAAACTCCCAGGACCCCCAGCTGCGCCAAACCATCCTCCTGTGCTGCCTGCTCTTTGTTCTCTTCGATGTGCTCGTGGCGCAATATGACAGTGCGTTTACGCATTTACACGGCGGTCTCCGTATTCTTAAAGAACTCGAGATTCATGGGAAGCTGGAGTCGGAGGTTGCGCCATCAATCATTGCTGCATTCCGCCGCCTGGATATACAGGCCTCGCTCTATGATACTCGATTTCCGATCCTACGCCTGGAGGATGGGACAAGATCCCCGCTCAAGTTATTCGAAGCACCAACAGGCGGCTTTACTAGCCTCAGCCAGGTACGAGAGAAGATTACGGTTCTATTTACAGCCGGTATACCCTTGATTGCGAAGAGCTGGAGCCTGAACGGTCCCAACATGGAGGCCAACTATGAATCACTCTACCTAAGCCAACGGCGACTGCTAGCTAGTTTCGCTGATTTTGACCCATATTTCAAGTCTTTTTGCGTAACGAAATATCATCAGTTGAGTGAGAAGGAGCAACTGGGAGCAGATATCGTCCACTTGCTTTACCTTGGTCATACTCTCACACTCAAAACTGTGTTGATCCGTGGACCAGTGCCGAAGTCTCTGGTTCCGGAATTCCTTGCGCTACTGCAGGCCCATGAAGACAAGATTGAGAAGCTCAGATCTGTCTCTGGCCTGGTAATGGACCATGTCATGATCGCCCACATGTACCTTGTGGCCACACAATGCCCAGATATGGAGATTCGAATACGCGCTATTCGTCTTCTGCGGTCATGGCCACATTACGAGGGCCTGCACAGCTCCAATGTCACTGCTCTGATGGCATTGGGGGCACTCAGAAGGGACTTTCCCAATGAAAGCCAGGCCTTGTCAGCGTTGCAGACCACAGAAGCGGAGAATGAATTTCTCGTCGACTCCTTGAAATCTATCAAGACTGCTGTGGGAGAACCTACCATTCCGCTTTTTAGAATGTCTGAGCTGCCATCGCGCCCATGATATGTAGTGAGCGATACGTGTGGACTGCCGATAGGCATTGGTAGCTTCCTCTCCAGTCAGAGCTGGTGTTATCCATCAACACATGTCTCGAGCGCATGATTGTGGCACAGTGATCTCAAGGACAACTGAAAGAGCCCTGGGGCCCATCTGACGCGTTTCGATTCTGCCCATAGGATATCTCCGAGAAGTCCGACAGAGCCCGAGGGTCCTCTCCATAAGCCCGAGTTGCAGGTCTGATGCCATCCCTTCACATTTGGCCCCGAATGAACTCGGTGCACGATGACAATGTCCCTAGTGTCGTACGCCTTCGTTATACTCCCCCTCTTGAAAGCGCAGCCCTACCCACCCTGGCGGATAAATTTTCTCGACAAAATCATGTGATGCGCTGTCTAGCTCCGCTCGGAGCCAGTTGCAACGATCTAAGCCCGAGGATTATCTCCACTGTCTCCCGCGGCCGAGTCTGCAGTGGGTCGGCTTGTCTGCGATTAGGTTTCTGGGCAATTCTTAAGCTCTTTATCCAGCCATCCTACCCCCAACACATACGCAACCTTTCTATTCTCTTGTCACCCCGCCGCAAACATATTTCACAATGCCTGTTCCATTCTCCTTTGCTGCCCCCTGCTATGACCGCATGGTCCCGCTCGCGACCGGTGAGGTCCGCCCCGCGGGGCTCGATCTGAACTTTGTCGAAGTCCAGCATCCCCGCGACGTGTTTGACCGCATGGTCCGAAACGGCGAGTTCGACGCCTCCGAGCTCTCGAGTAGCGAATTCATCACCCGCCATGTCGCCGGCGATCGGACCTTTACTGCTATCCCGGCCTTTCCGCTCCGTACTTTCCGTCATGGATACATCGTCGTCAACACTGACCGCATCAAGTCACCTGCAGACTTGTCGGGGAAGCGCATCGGCGTGCAATTGTATACTATGACCGCTGCCGTCTGGATCCGTGGGCTTTTGATGCACGAGTATGGCGTGGATCTGTCGAGTATTACCTGGATTGAGGGGCGGATGGACGCGCCCGGGGCTCATGGCAAGCCATCCGTCCTGATTCGGAGGGAAGGGGACAAGCCACTGGCCAACATTGAAAAGAACAACAGCGGGAAATCCCTGAACCAACTGCTGGCGGACGGTGAGATCGATGCGACCATCGGAGCAGAAGTTCCATCTTGTCTCTCGGACAATGAAAAAGCCCCCCATATTCAGCGCCTGTTTCCTAATTATAAAGAGACTGAGAAGGAGTATTACCGAAAAACGGGCATCTTTCCGATTATGCATCTGGTGGCTATCCGAAGGGAAGTGTACGATCAGCACAAGTGGATTGCGACGAGCTTGTTCCAGGCGCTGAATGAGTCGAAGGAGTTGGTTCGCAAGAGAACCTACATGCCTGGTATGATCCGCTGTATGTTGCCGTGGCTGCGGGAGGCACTGGAAGAGACCGTCGAGGTGTTCGGGGAGGATTGCTGGCCGTATGGAATTGAGAAAAACCGCAAGACTTTGGAGGCGTTGGTGCAGTATCTGTATGAGCAGGGGATGATTGAAAGGGTGGTTCCGGTCGAGGAGCTGTTTGCGCCGGTTCAGGAGGCGCCGTTTGTAATTCATTAGTAGCCTGATAGTTGCTATCACTTAGTAACCTTGAATCAATGCAATAGAGATCTCATATCATCGACAACAACCACAGCATAGGCGACCCTGTCGTATCAGATCCACTAAGATGGATGTATATCTTCCTCCAGCATAACGCGAACTTCGTGCTTCACATCTCCAAGAAAGTATGAAACGCGCGCATGGCGCTGATCATCTTCAACCGTCAAGAAAATACTTCGCAAGGATGGCTCATTACGACCACCCCTTACCTGTCCATTGACATCCACGTTGAAATTATTCATCGCCTCCACTCTCATAGTATGAACCGCCAACTGCGCACACAAATTCGAATCCCAGGTCCCTTCGCGATGAGGCCACGACCGAAGCATCTCAATAGCGCGCCACCGCACACTGTAGTCACGACAGCCGGTTGCCACGAGAGTTAAAGGTGGGATAATGCCCATGTCGAAGCAGACGCTTGGCCGTTCTGGGAATGCGTGCATGATTGTATTCACTAGAAATAGGATGTTCTCGAATTCGGGCGTGTAGTGGTCAAGGACGGCTTCATTTCCGTCTAATAAGCAAGTTTGAAGGATGAGGGTTGCGGCGCGTTGGTGGAGGTAGATTATGTCGGCTCCTCGTTGTTCTTTGGGGCTAAGTTGGGGTGAGTATTTTGTTCGAAATGTATTGAATGCTTGGGCGAATGTATCGATTTGTAGACGAAGGTTGAGTTGCTTCTTGTAGAGTGTTTCGTAGTCCGAGGCGATTTGGCTGTGGGTGGAGCCGGACGCCTTCGCTGTGAATTCTAGGACGGTGCCCACCACGCGGTCGAAAGCTTGACGCGCCTCCGCGAGAGTCTGAAAAGCGAAGGACTTCTCATTCCCTAGCTGGATATGGTCCTGCTCATCAGTAAACCAGATCGGTCCTCCGACACCGAATTGACTGGACTGGACGTCCAAGTGCGCAAATGCCTCGACAAGACACCACTCCACTGGGGGCTTGGACATTGCCGCCGAGTCACGCTGTCTGTGGACGCCTAGGCTTTTCAAGATGTGCATACCACCATGCAGATGTCTAAAAGCGTCATCATACCGGCCGCGCAACAATTCAAACAATGTGAAAAGCAAGCAGCACAGCAGCGTGACCTCTCTCAGACAGGGATCCTGCGATGTCCGTCGCGCATTGAGCAAGGCAATGGAGCGCCCCGCCTGTTCCAAAGCGAAGCGATGCCAAGTATTATCCAAGTCCTCCCTAGCAAGCCGCATGCCTTTCTTCTCGGCATCCTGGTGGAGGGCGCTCAACGCGACAGCTGCATGGTAGACCGCGGGCTCGGCGTGACTCAACTGGAGGACCAGTTTTTGCCAGAGTGATGAGTCGAACCATCCTAGAAAAGCGGGCATGGATCGATGTTGGAAATAGGCGAATGATCGTTGTTCGTCGGCATTCATCACCCAATGGATCCGGTGAGTGAGTGAACCCGGCACTGTGATCCCCACCACTGCTTTTCTGGGTCTCCGCACTTCGCGGGGTAACCGGTGGAACTCATATCCGTCGCAGGTTCGGCCCGTAGATGTGCAATTGGTGCAGGCGCCGGGGGTTTCGTCGCATTTCTTATGACGGGCACTAAGAAGAGAGATCTTTCAGCAGGGTATCCATTGTGTTGTGCAGACTGAACTCACCGACAGGTACGACACCCAGTCCTGGACCTTCTTCCCCCAGCTCTCTTGCGGGTGGATGCTGGGGACGTTGTGGTTTCGGATGGACCTGGGGTGTCGAGGAGCATAAGTCAAGCTGCCAGTAAAATTGAAGATAATTAGCCTGGAGATAAATAAAATCAAATCAACTGCGTGTGTGCTGCCTGAGACGCGATAAGCACGAGATCACGGGGCTTAGCGCGGATAGTCCACGTGGCTGGCGCCTGAGATACGAGGCAGCAGCCATTCTTCCTATCAAGAGTCAAGACAGTCCTTAAAATCTACTAGGCAGCAGTATCTCGGAGGTTCATTTCTGGTCTTTCTCAGACTAATGCGATTTTATCTATGTAAGTCTTTGGTTGGTGTCATTGGACCTGCGCTGAGCATTCAGTAAGTTTACTATGGACGCGGAGTAGAATTGGGTTGGAATTTTGGTAGAAAGTAATAATGCCAGTGATATGTCTAATACTCGAGGGCCAGCTATCAATCACCCCAGACTGCCAAGTTCAATCCCTGGAACCGCATCAATCCGGCCGTATATCCGAACCCCGCATTTCCGAAGACTTCATCCGCGATCAACTGCCGTGGGGCTCGGCGGTGGTGCCTCGGTGCCTGCATCAGGCTGATCGTCTCTTATCTGATCTTAAGGCTGTTGACAAGGAATAGTCCGTGATGCCTCTGACATTGTAGTAAAGGAGTTACTGCTTTCGCTCGAACTACACAATAGTGTCGTACGCGAGATAACGCTCGAGTTCGGAGCCATGCACGGGGCGCACTCCCATTGCGCCCTTACTGTCAGAATGAATCTCTACACATCCACCTCACAACACCCGGAATTCATACCGAAAGAACTGCCACCTGCAAGAGACGACTTTGTGTACACGGCAATGTGGACCACCGGAAATATGGGAGTGACGCCACTGCCACCCGGAACCAATCCGTGGTGGATGCCCTTTTCGGAGATACTCAAAAGGGCAGTCGGGAGATCAGATAAGGAATATGCCGAGCTCCCCTGGACGATAATCCCCCACTTTGCCTCCGGGGCTAATCCTTCTGCCGCCCTTATATACTCGTGCTTCTGCTTGCCCGGTCGCGATTTGTATCATGTTTCTACCTTCAGACAGACCTGTACCTTCGTGGATTTCATATTTATTCATCACTGCAAGCATAGCATTGATTATCTCGTCTATCGCTCCTAAAATAATCCAACATCGCTCGGAAAATTCCAACACCATGGCCGCATCTTCTTTGAAGAACGTCATCGTCGTGGGCGGTTCCTATGTCGGAAAGGTAATTATTCACGCGCAACACGGTTATTAGTATTGCAGAAACATGACTGACAACCAATGCAGGGAGTCGCACAAGAGCTTGCGCGGGTCGTTCCCAGCACACATAGAGTATGTCCCACTCTGACATCTATACGGGTTCAAAAATACCATACTAACCCACGCCCGCAGGTCCTCCTAATCGAACCCCACAGTCACTTCCACCATCTTTTCGCATTTGTATGTGACAACACCCGCCCTACTTGCCAGTGTATCATCAGAGACACAAAAGCTAATCCGCACCTCAGCCCCGATTCGCCGTCCTCTCCGGCCACGAACAAAAAGCCTTCATCCCCTACTCCCGCCTCTACTCCTCCACCCCCAATGCCACACAACATGCAGTCGTCCAGGCGCGCGTTCTCTCCGTACAGCCCCAACACGTCAACCTCGACCGTGACTGGCAAGGCCTGAAGCAGATCCCATTCGAGTACCTTGTTGTCGCAACAGGCACGCGTCTCGCGCAACCCGCAGCCATGAGCGACGACGACAAACCCTCCTCCGTCCTCTACCTCCAGAAACACCAAGCAGACGTCAAGAAAGCCAAGTCTGTAGTAATTGTTGGTGGTGGAGCTGTCGGTGTGCAGATGGCCACCGACATGAAGGAGCTGTACCCGGAGAAAGAAATCACCGTGGTGCAGTCGCGCGATCAATTGATGCCTCAATTTCACCGCGGTCTTCACGAGATCGTGAAGAAGCGCTTCGAAGAGCTCGGTATTAAGTTAGTTGCACCCCTCACCATCTCCCCCAAACCCATCGAATCATTCCCAACTAACCCACTGCAGCCTGGTCACCGGCGCCCGCATCGTCGTCCCCGAATCCGGCTTCCCCAACAACGGCACCCCCTTCACCGTCCAATTGAACAACGGCACCGAACTCTCAACTGAGTTCGTCATTCTCGCCACGGGCCAGAAACCCAACAACGACCTTATCAAATCCCTGCCTGCTTCTTCCCCCAACTCTCTCATCAACCCGGACAACGGCTTCATCCGTATCCGTCCCACCATGCAGTTCCAGGACCCGAAGTACCCGAACCTCTTTGCGCTGGGCGATATCGCTGATACTGGCTTGCGCAAGGCCGCAAGACCCGGTGGTCCCCAGGCTGCGGCTGTGGCGAAGAATATCCAGGCGATGATCGAGGGGAAAAAGCCCGAGGAGGCGTTCCCGCCATTCCCGATGGCCATTCATATTACGTTGGGATTGGTAAGTTCTCTATTTCATTACGTTGTGTCTGTGGTATGGAGGAAGTGCTAACGATCTGGATGTACAGAAATACAACATTGTGTTCCGGAATCCTAACCCCGCTGAGGGACAGAATGAGCCTGTTGTTAAGGAGTCTTGGGAGTAAGTTCCTCATATGCACAAATTGTTCTAAATTGTAAAGGAATACAAGCTAACGAATTGACAGCTCGCAAGAAGACATGGGTGTTGATCGGTGGTGGCAGCGTATGGGATTTGAGGAAAGCGGCGCCCCTCAATACCATTTGTAAAGCGGATGCATTGCAAAACTGTTGCCGCGTACGATACCATTTGATGTAGATTTGATAGACCATTTATATATGATATGATACTATTTTACCGATCATATGCATTATTGATTGAGCGAATGATGTATTTGAAATGACACATTATGCAGCAGTAATTGGATGATCATAGTACATTCAACTGATAGTACACAATAAACAGATATGATAACAACTTTATCCACCTTTTTCAAAGTATTTTATAGTCGACCCCCCAATTAGAGATACATTAGAAATTAAGATGTCCCAGTATAAGCCTGTACACCTATACTAAACACATATCGGTTAAAGAGTGACTTTGGTCGGAAAGTAGGGTTTGCCATCTAGGCGTGGAAAGGGCGAGGGTGGTGGGGGTCCTTGAAGCAAGAAGGAACGTTCTGCTCGTAGTCGCATGCGCTGATCTTAGGGTTGAAGGCAGTGCCAGCACCGCACTCCTTGTGGGCGGGCTCAGTGCCAGGGTTGCACTGGTAGAATTTGTGGCAGTTGGCGGGATCGGGCCAGACAGCGCTGCTCTCGCAAGCGTGGGCGGCGGCGCTGTTGACCAGGAGGGAGCTGATGAAGACAGCGAGAGCTTGGTAGGTGAAGCGCATTTTGGCGGGTTGTCTGGAGATCGTTTAGTTGTGGGATGGATGAAGAGGGGTGGTATGTAACTCACGGTTTCCTGTAGATAGGTTAGTATGAGAAGAAAGAGTGGATTGGTGGTCGAAGGCTGTGGTGTTCTGGTTGATGATGAGGGAAATACAGCAGGTCAGCACCTCGTATTTATACCTGAGATGGCTCCTTCGGAGTTTGCTTGTGTTTATGGTAGGAACATATACGGAATGATAAGTTTGGTGAGGAAGGGATGAGCCAGTGTGGTATCTACAGGTTCAATTGAGAAGTTCAGGATGGATCCCCACATAGGATCACCCTTTCACAGGTGGGTAGTTCAAGGGATGGACGGTCTCGGCTAAGTAGAGGGTCCAATGTTGTCACAAGATATTACCAACTGGAAGCCAAGGGAGAAGCATGCTATCGCCAAGTCCACTGTCATTCAACAACCTGAGTTTGTTGCAACGTTCTTGCTGAGGCACAGTCAAACTTTCCATAGTAGATACTGCATGTTGATGGCAAGGATCGATGGGATGCAAGCCGCTGGGTCCACTGGCGTCACCCCTTGCTCCAGACCCACAAGCATAGTCGGCTCCGGCACGAGTGAGGGTCAGGGATCTACATCCCCGGATTCTTTATCCTTGGAAGCCTGCAGCACTGGCTATTATGTTGATTTTGTTTGTATAGTGCATCGGCGCGCAAAATGTAGACGTGATTGGCGCTCTGAAGACGGAGTTGGCATACACATCGGCGTGTCTCCTGATAGCTATAAGCTGGAGATATGTGGTTATCTCAAAGTTTCCAAGGCTTCAAAGCTTTTTCCGCTGCATCAAAATCTACTTTGAGCTTTGGTGTCTCTTAACGAGCCCGTAAATTAAAGGGGATAGTAAGAATGCAGTTGGGCAAGTCAAGGTACAGGTCGAGAGACAGAATGCTCGGCTGCCTTGTTCCCGTGCCAAGATAGACACCTGGGATCATGACACAAGGAAAATTCAATCTGTCTTAACAATAAACAAACAAGATAGACTGACCCACGTCAAATTTTAATACATATAACCGACATTCTCGGTCCTGGGTAGCGGAATGAGCGAGGACCTTGAATTCTTCATACTTTGTACTTAAGCGAAGGATCCACAACGGGAAAGCACCCCCCTCGTCCGAAGCCTATCACCGCCTACCCTTCACGTGTGCGAATACTGCCGGACATATCAGTCGAGGAGATATAAGCGGTCAGTGGGACCGTGGTTGCTTTCGTCCACCATCCACGTCAACTTTACAACAAATCAAGGCCAGTAGTATGAGCCATTCGTCATCTACTCCACACTATTGAATTTCTCGTATGCAACCGTCTGTGGGTAGCGGCAGGCAATAACGCGAGTTGAGCTTATCGACCGGTCGTCAGTATGAAGTCAATTGCGGCCAGGATACGATTGGATTAGGAAGAGGAAATGCTTCTGATGACTACAAACCCAACGATAAGTGCATTATGATTAATGCTACAGTTGCCCGCATATACTCCTGCTCTGTGATCCCGTGTAGTCGGCGATACTTTGTTGATGCCACTCTGGAAGCCTGAACCCTGACGACACAATCTTATCTGGGATGAAAGGCTCTGAACTGTTTCGTAATGAACCAGCCTTGCAGGATGGGCTGTGTTATTCACTAGTGCTAGTCTCAAACCTGCACTTTTCTTAGTCTTTAGTGCGATCGCGTGGAGCAACCATCGAGAATATACCAAGGCTGGCTATCACCACCCACACAAAATCAGCCCTCCACGGTACAGAAGCTTTAACTCGTAGTCTAGCTTTATATTCGACGAATCACGTAGAATGGAACCGATTGGAGAAAGCCCAGACCTACACATATTACCTAACCGGGCGTCATCCCGGCCAGTATGAAGTCAGATTGACTTTAATTCCTCGCCAAGAGACAAAGATGAAAGAATGACGAGTGAGGCTATCAAATCAGACAATTAGTATATAAGTAATGGTCTGAAGCAGATCTGTTCAGGTTGTGATAAATAATTTTCAAGAACATACTAAATCTCAGTGGCGCTGTAATATTATATTGTATAATATATATTTCCGCCTCATTACTACTACATAATGTCCTCCACCGAAGACAGACTCAACGCTCTGCGTGGCTATAAAGCGTGAGTGCTCTTTCCAACCCTTACAAGCTAGATTCAATTAACCAAATTGCAAACAGTACCCTAAATAATCCTAATACCTCCGACGAGGCGAAGCAGAATGCTCAGGCCATGATCGAGCAACTCGGCGGAGATCAGCCCCGGGAGGAACTCTACAACCTCCGCGGCGACGCTACCAAGGACCCTAACCGCGTGGCTGGTGGCTTAAAGGCGTGAGTTTGGTGCATTTCCTGATATTTATTTGGCATAGAATACTGATCATCTCTTCTATAGAGCTCAAAGCAACCCTGGAGTCTCGCAACAGGGAAAGAAGGCAGCGGGCCAGAAACTGGGACAGCTTTCGGGTGAAGCTCCTGAGGAGTAAAATTGTATTTTTTGATGGCCATTTCTAAGTCAAGACTTGAGTGAAGATGATGTACTGTAAAAATCTGATTAAATACGGGCGCTTGGTCTTTACAACTATGTGTGCTAAAGATAGTCTACCAAGTAGGGATGTAGAATGTCACATCATGTCATGGCAGGTCACGATGGACCTTCACTGGCACCTGATGTGATCTGGTCTTATTCACCCCAGAGCAGCAATATTGCGAGTCACAAAGATACTGTCAGTGGGAATAGACCTTATTCATCTATCAACTAGCATTCATTGTTCTATCAACGTGTCATGTCTCCTTATTTAAGTCCCAGAACCACTAGACAGGATCACGCACCCTCAGGCGCTCTTCTCTTCTTCTTCTTCTTCCCATCTAGCAGTGTTGGGAGGTCATCAACAGTAGACTTTCCTTCGAGGATATCTGCCAAAAAGAAAGTTAGTGGGAGTTTGCGAGGAAGTATAAATCGAAAGCATTCTTACCATGAACAGCAACAAACAACGGAAACTCCTGCAGCTGGTCGTGCTTGGACAGGAAGTCATGAACAGCGTAAGCCGTCGAAGTCCCCTGCAATTTCTGGCCGTTGAGCTCCTTCTGTTCGATTTCATTGACGCTGACCCCCTGCTCGACTGCATGACAGGCTGACCGGAAGTTCCGTCCACCGCTACACGAGGAAATCACGTCCGCTAGACCCGCGCTCTCCTCAGTAAAGGTCCTCTCATCCACAGACTTGGGAAACCACGTCCGACCAAACTTAATCATCTCCAGGATGCCGACACGCATAATTGCTGCCTTGGCATTTTCTCCCCAGCCCTTTCCTGCAACAAACCCCGATGCTAAAGCTACAATGTTTTTCAGTGCACCCCCTAGAGCCACCCCGGCAACGTCGCGAACGTGATTAACATGGAAATATGGGCGGGCAAACAGAGTCTCCCACAGCTCGGCATCGACTGCAGGGAGATCCTTTGGTACCGGGTGTAGCTTGACATGCGTGGGTTTGGTTTTATGTTGCCGTTGCTCATCAATCTTGATCAAGTTATCCTTCGGCGACCCATTACGCTCATCCGCATCCATCGGAGGGGTGTCGTAACCGATGGTCGTCTCACAAAACTTCTCCGCGGCCACCTCTGGAGCAATGTTGGCACCGGACAAGGCACCGCAGTAGATACCGAGTCGCTCCATGATAAGTTCGGAGTGGAGAGTCACAGTTCCGTCTGACACATCGACGCCCTTGATGCAAGAGATACCTCTTGCATAGGGGAGATGGTACCCCACAACACCGTCGAGGGTCTTGCCGATAAACTGATGGGGGAGGTTGAAGATAAGTAAAGTAGCATTCTTGACGGCCGACTTGAGGTCTGGGTCGGCTACGACATTATCAGGGAGGGCGATATCCGGCAGGTACTTGACGTTCTCGTGGACCTCATTGATGACCTCGGTCAATTTGCGCTTCTGGCCGCCCAGTCTCTTGTGGTGTCTGGAGGATTCCGGAACTTCGATTTCCTCCTCAAACACCCACATACGCACCTTCGACTCGAAAAGCTCGGGATGTTCCTTGGTATTTTCTGCGACAATCTTGGAGATGGTGGATCCCCTAATTTACAACGGTGTGAGCCGTATGCGCGACGGCAGCAAGGAAAAGATGGTGCATACCAGTTACCGGAACCGACCACGGCCACCGTGTGCTTCCGTGTGTGCTCAGGCATCTTCCAGAATTAATTAAGAAAATAAAGGTTACATGAGCATGAATGGACCTTGGAAACTGCCGATGTTCTATTTGATTATGCTTTATATATAGCTGACGAGAACAGGTTCTGACAGCCCGAGACTCTGATGTGAGAAGGACGTCATCGCCCTGTTCACAGCGAGCCCATGCCCTGCTTCTTCCTCCCTACTCTTTTTTCCCCAATCAAAAATCATGGGCTTGTCAGTTCAAATCAATCAATAAGGGCACTGCAAGGTCCTCTGTGACTCCCTTCTTTTGCAGTCACTGGCCTTGATTGCTTTACACACCCATGATTTGCCACGGATACCTCCGACCGTACCGAAACCAACGGCCTTGAGGTTATTCCGGTTCCTGTTGTGCTCGGACGATGAATGACCATGGATCATGCACAAATAATATCATCAAAAGATATATAAAGAAAGGGATCGAAAAAAAAGGAGATAAAGAAAAATGAAGAAAGAATTTCAAATCCAGTCTAAGGTTTCCAGGCTTTCTGGATCATTCCTGCAAAATGTGCTATGCAGCTGCGATGGCATTGTAACCGGATTTGATGCGGCCAAACGACAAGTTTAACCCAAAAGGACCGATCATTAGCGGCTGTCAGGAATCGATCGCAAGCAACGACTGCATCACAGACCATATTGAATCGTGCGTCTGACTCATTTTTACCCTTCATCGCCGACACATTTGAACTTGGCACCGGGACAAACCTTTGACCTGATTGGGCTGAGAACGAGACCATTGAGGAAGAGCGTCTATGTTACTTTATCCTGAAACATTTACACGGTAATTGGCTCGGTATATATAAGAGGACGCGCATGAGGACGATGATATATCTGAGAAAAACCATCCACTCGTTGTTAGAGTGTTCTATTGGTTTCTCAACAAATTGCGCGTTCACCTGTCAGATCATGACAGACATAGCAGCGTCACTTCCCGGGTTAAGGCGGGTGTCAAGAGGCATCATCAACATGATGGGTACTTCAAGATACTGTTAGAGAGCCAACGAGAAGTGATACGAAGCTGAATTACTCGTGGCAACTATGTATACCTGATACGCTTCGGGGCACACCACATTCGGAACATTTTGGAATACTAGACAAGTGAAGCAGTCTGACTTCAACCAACTTATTGAGGCTCCACTTATTCTTGAAGATCTTGACCCTGTGGGTCCACCATATCTACTCCGCCATTTAGTTCGGGGTGTTGGTGAGATTCAGTAATCAGTACAGGTTACTTCAAATATACTGCTGGGTAGAGCTCAAGAAATTACTTGAATCAGGAGAGTCAATACGCATGTGAATCAGATAAGGGAATCTGGGAAAGTCAAGTCAATTTAGAAAGGTATCTTATTACCTCCCTCTCTTTCGCCTTTTTGCCTTTCTAGGCTTCGTGTTGTACTATATAAGATTACTTTTGATAAAGCCTACGCTTTGGCGATGTTCCCTGAAGAACTCAGAACACCCTGGCTTATATCGGCAAACTCTCTGAAGTGTGTCAAACCCTCAGAGGATGTGGCTTTATATGGACCAATTCAGCAAGCTTTCTGAGGGTATCACGAACCATAATGATCCTTGGTTTCGACGTACCCATGCAAGTCTTCATTACCATGTCCAGTGTTTCATGAGGGTATCAAGATATATTCGTCTCTTTGGTCAAGCTGAAGTCGGGTACAAACAATACAGATACTTGCTTGCTCAATATCCAGGAAATGTGGATGGCGTGTATTTTTCAGACACTTACCGCCAAGAACATGGATGTACACGTTCTTTTGGGTGCGTGTGGAAGGTGGTCCACTCGCCATTTGAACGTTGTACCCCCGATTTGGCAAGGGTTAACCGGAAGTGACTCAGCA